TAGCGAATGGCTGGATGAGTGATTCTAGACACCTTTGATCTTGAAGGCAACAATGGTTCATTGGCAAAGTGTGTCCAATCAGCAAAGGCAGCTTGTTTCCTCCTTGAAGTCATGTGCTGTCTCATTGGGAAGTCCAAAGAGTTGGCATAGAGCTGAGATGGAGATGCGCCCATTGGCATCGCCTATCTTGAAGAAGTAGGAGTCCATCACCAGCTGGTTGGTCTCCATTGTGGTTGGGAAAGGCAAGAGCTACTGTGGAGAGGAACTCCTTGGTTAGTTGAGTACTCGCTGCATCTATCTTGAATAGCTTGCTCAAGCCAAGCTTCCTTAGTACCATGTGACATCATCTCTTATCTTGAGAAGGTCAAGGGTTGGGGTGTCCATCTTCACACAAGGTTCTATGTTCACCTTCTCCATTGCCTTCTTGCACTTTCTTGGGTCTTGGATTTGTTCTCCAACAAAGCTTACAAGTGCCCAATCATCTTCTCTTCTTGGACTCTCCACATGTTCTTGATTTGCATCAATGGAATGTGGTGATGTTGGTATTGCTGCTCTTGCATTGGAGCTACTACTCCCTAGCTTGATTTGTTTCTTGGTGGTTGCATAGATGGATCTTTCTTCTTCTTCATGGCTCACCTCCTTTTGTCCTTGCCATTGGGTACCTACAAGAGCAAATTCTTGGGAAGAGACATGAGTTTGTGATTGAATGCATAAGAAAGATAAGCTAATTGAGTTGTAATAATGATATGGTATAATGGAACAACTCAAGGCTTAATCATAAATCAAAGAAACAAAATGGAAATTTCACTATTTCAAAGTTAATTTTCGGATTTTACTGTTCATCTCAAGATTATGGTGCATAAAATCGAAATTTTAGCAAATCAAGAGAAATTGAGTTTCTAATCCATGTAATCACTAGATAAACTAATGAATTGAAGCATGACTAAGCAATTTCACTTTTGATAAAGGGGTTTGGAATACCCAATAAGTTTTGTGAAAAACTATTCAATTGTGAAATTAAACTCTAAATAACTCTAAACCACCTAGGTTCCACCTAGCTAAGTTCATTACAAGACTAATAAGATGGCAATTTCAAGTTTAGACAAGAGTTTAGACCAAACAAGAAACTTATTGAAAATTTCGATCTTGCATAAACATGGGATTAGAGTTAAAAGACATACCTTGTGTATTGAAAAGTGAATGAGGAAGAAAGAGCAAGCAAATCCAAGTTCAAGTTATGAACAGTAAAAGTTTTGTAAACAAAGCTTTTAGAGCTCCTCTAATGGAGTTTAGGGTTTTGGAGAAGAAAGAGAGGTTCTTGTTGTTTTCAAGGAAAGGTAAAGTTATAAAGCTCAAAGTCCAATTAATTTTCCTTTTCAAATTCGAATTTTGATTGAAAATCGGTTTAAATCGGTTTAGGATTGGTTAAAACCGGTTTGAATTTAATGAAAAGGGGACTTACCTTGGCCGAGAAAAGTTTGGGCCGATGCCGTGGATTTTTGTCGCGGTCGTGCGGTTTGGTCGGCCAAACTGCAATTGGACGAGAAATCCAGCCGAGGCCGATCGTTTGCTTCCCGGATCGACTGTGACGGTCGGTCTGTTCCGACTCATGAATCCGGCCAAATGCGGCCTGTTCCCTTCATGTCTGTGCGTACTGCGCGGACGGTTTTGTCGCGCTAAGTTCGTTGTTCGGCCGAGCGAGAGCCGTTCCTTCCCGGATCGACCGGTACGGTCGGCCCGATAGGAAAATTTGCTCGGCCAAATTTCTTTGGCGCGTCCGCGGCCGATGGTTTGGCCCGGATTGTGTTTTTCATACCTTTTCTCCTTCTATCCTATCTTAAAACAAAGAAAACAGAAAAGCAAAACAAAAACTAAGAAATCTAAAGAAAGAAAAGTAAAAGTACCTCATGGGTTGCCTCCCATGCAGCGCTTGTTTTAAGTCTTTAGCTTGACTGTAAGGCTTGGTGCTCAGGAGAAGATGGAGACTAGAGGCATCTTTGATCCTCCAATTCTTTTCTCCTTGCAATTGATGTGGGATAAGTTTTACCCAACTATTAGTAGATACCGCAAGTGCACGGATCGTTGGTAGTATGGGTTATCGAACACAAGGACCAGAAAAGTTGCACTATGAGCTTATGAGATTAAAACTTAGCTAAAACTAAAATATGGGGGTTTGGTTTTAGAGCTGTGAACAGTGGCGAAAATAACAATGAGTGAGCTTGAAATCAAGTGAAACAAGTTATCAAATCAATAGGGAAAGCATTGGGCACAAGAGAATTCATAGGTCATCAAGGATTGGTTTATTGGATAGTTAAACAAGGAATCAATAGATATGATCAAGAACTTGAATTATGAATGGATAATCAACTTACTCCCGCAATGTCAATTAAAATGTCTAACAACCTAAGATCACTCTACTCCCATAGGCAATCAAGTGGTTAAACAAGCACAAATAATTCAAATTCAATATGTTCCACAAAGCATCATAATTCTACTCCCGCAGGTTATGGTGATTTGTTCATCAAGATTATTTCAAGTGATTTATCAAGCTTTCGGAAAGTAAATCAACTCTAGGGCAGTAGCAGGACGTTCAGTCAAAGCTATAAGCATTAAGCACAAATCAAGATGAGGAACTCAATCAATAATCCCGAATCTAACAACCTAGTGATCAATCCATGAATCCCTTGAAAACTCTTGAACCCAACAATAGGACTACTCAGCCATGATGCAAACAAACAAGCAAGAGATGTATGAAAGCATTATGTGAGTATTAAAAGAGATAAGGGATGAAGAAAGCTTCTCTATTGAAGAACAAGTCGAAATCTCCCTTGAAACTCTCAAATCCGAAATAACAAAGTGCAAGAGAAAAAGGAAAGAACAAAGTGTAAAGGTTTGTGTGTGTGTGTGTCTTTGATCTTGAGAAACGCCTCTTCTCTCTGCTTCTTCTGCTCTCCAGGACGGCTCTCTCTCTCTCTGACGGCGCACACGCTTCTCTCCTTCTCCAGAGGCTAAAAACTTGCATATATAGGTTGTAGGTCGGTTAGGGTATTGAAGTGCCGGAAAAGGAAAGTTTCCATGAGCCTTCTTCTCCACGTCGTGTATGGGCCGACATTGTACCAAGGAAAGCTCCAAACATTAGCCAGGCCTCTTCTTATTCATCAAGGCCTTTGGCGCTGCTGCTCGGGCCATTAGACACTCCAAATCCTCCATGGGCTTCGTTTGGTCGCTAACCGGACATGTCTCGGTAGAAAATAAGTTCCGGCCTGATGGTTGATCCAAATGGCTTCATTCCACTTCGACGTGATGCATGACTCAAGTATCTATCTTTCCATATCAAGATCGTGACTTTTGGACGTCGGGAACTCCTCTTCGCGCGGCCAAACTTCCGAAGCTTCGTTCTGCTCGCCTAGCGAGAACTAACACTTGGAGATAAAATGATGCTCTTGACTTGGAAACTTGCATGGATCATGGTTTGAGGCTCTTTTGCTCCTTTTTGCATCCTTTTTGATAGTTTACCCTGTTAAGACTCCAAAACCAACAAATACAAGAAAACTACCTCTAAAGGCATAAAACCTTATGAAAGTGCTTAAAAACACATGAAAATATAAGTAAAATCATGTAAATATGGATATATCAACTCCCCCAGACTTAGCCTTTTGCTTGTCCTCAAGCAAACTAAGCAGGAAAAGAGGTTTGAAAACATGAGAACTCTCAAATCTTTTGGAAATCCAAAGTTGACTTACTTTAGTAATCCACATGAAACAGCATTGGCAAATTTTGAATTAAGAACAAGAGTACATACCATGAGTTTTGCGATTTTCCCAAAGCGGTCCACCTCTCCTTAGACAATCCAATTCGCCACCCTTGACTCCTTTCATTTCTAAAGGTGTGGTCTCAACTAGGGAGTATCGATCAGCCGGCTTTTAGACTCTTACTCATCCCCTTGTTTGGCACTTGTCTTTTTACTCCATGTTTCTCCTCTCTCTCTTCTCACTTCTTCAGTTGATTCATCCCTTTTTTAGGGTAGCGAAGTATTTTTTTATTCAACTCCTTCTCTTTATTATAGAGGTTTTGCTTGGATCTTCCACAGACGCGAGTATTGATGGTGTTTGCCACCGAATCCCCGGTTGCTTGGATTCATAGGCCTTCCATAGACGCGAGTATTGATGGTGTTTGCCACCGAATCCCCGGTTACTTGGACCTTACGCTTTTTCTTTTAATTTGAAGGGGAGAGAGAGGGAAGCACGAACTCACTAAGACTTTTTCATTTGATGGAGAGGATGAGGAATCATGCCATTTGTATGCCAAGCCCCTAGCTGAGAAGATTAAGTTCATTAAGGGCGGAGTCAAAGATGGATCCTTCTCAAGTCTTTAGAGATGTAGGCGTTTTTGGTAGATCGATCAACTCATAGTGCACCTGTGGTAAGATGTATTGCCAAGAACTGCTCAATGGTCACTTAAACATTAGTACAACATGGTTAGATCCAAGATAAGGTCATGATTCTCGACAAAAATTTTGACTCAATAAAAACGACTCGATAAAAGGGAAAAAATGCAAATGAAAATGCCAAAATGAACAAACATTGTTAGTAATCCCCCCAGACTTAACTTGCACCGTCTCGGTGAAAGTAAATCAGATTAAGAGAGGTATAACATGAAGTTCAAAATGAAAAATTTAAAAGAAAAGGTTTAAGGATGATGTTACCAAATGTCGACCAATTTGTAATGAAGATCAGGTCCGGTTTGAGTAGTTTTAGACTTCTTTAGGCAATATTGGTCGGTGAGTTTTGAATTTCAGGCCTTGGTTCACACCGGTTTGTGTTTTGGCCGAGATGGTACATTCGGTCGGCCAAAAGGTAGTGCTGTGAACTACAGAACAAACCGTTAAGAATTTCATGACCTATATTGAAATTTCATCGACCAACCTGGTATTTTATAGCCTCTGGTGAAGTTTGGGAGCATTTGAACGAGGGATTGAGACTTCCTTCACAAATGGTCAATCGGCTCCGGGAAGGAGTTTCCTTGGCCATTGAAGTTTGGCTCGTTCCTTTTCGTTTCTTCCTGCATAAAAATGTTAGTTAAGCTCAAGGAAGAGTTTTCCAACCGGTTGGCGCGCCTATGCCGTGATTTTGATTTGTCGGCCATATTGTTTGCACGCCATCGGCCAGAATGAGCTCCTTCGTCTATCTCATGAACCGTAAAGATTTCTCCGTCCTATCTTTTGGATTTGCCGACCAAATGTGATTTTATGGTCGCCTGTGAAGTTTGGTGGACTTCGGACACACGGTTTGGGAGATGGCCGAAGGTTGTTCTCCATGCACGCACCATGGCCGAGAGAAATAGACCGGATGGGATATCTCAAGATCTACTCGGGCCAATTGAGGTTTTATTCGACCGAATTGATTCTATAATCCCTTTATCATTCCCAGGTGGTGACCGCCATGTTCCTTGTGTTGTGTATGAATCTCCTTTGAAACCTCCTTTGAACCGCCATAAGTATGGTGGTTTTGGTTGGTTAAACAACTCTTCTGTATCTCCTTCCTGTCAAATAGTTAAGTCCTTGCAAAAAACTTGAAATCACTGTTAAATCCGGCCTTAGATTGAGATCCCAAGTAATGAGTTTGGTTTCCCAATCTAGGCCAAAGAAGTATAAACCAAATAAACATGTTGGGTCCTGAATGAGAGATCCCCATGTTCTAAAATAGTCTAATATAAGTGAAATCAATGCATAAGATGAGTTTGACAAGTTCAGATATATTCTCATTCATTAACCATCAATATTAAGCAAATTAAACCATGAAAAGTATATAATGAAGTGCAATGGTTCAAATGCTCATGAGTTTAAGATCAGAGATGGTTTTTAATGAATGATTGAGAAGAAGTTACTTACCTGAAATGGAGATGTCGCCTTGGTTAAGGGTGGAAACATTGGGTGGGACACTTCCTTGTATTGGTCTCCTTTTGGTTCTTCATCCATGTGGGTTGCCTCCCACAAAGCGCTTGTTTTAAGTCTTTAGCTTGACTTTATGCCTCTTCTTAGTTGGTTGGAGCATCAACTAAGGGGTTTAGGATCCCTTTTGCTTCTTCCTTCTCTTGTCCAGGGGGTTCATGTGGTGGTTTGGGCACGCCAATATCATCTCCCATGCCATCTTTGAAGACAAATGCACTCGGGAAGAGCCTTAAGGTGTTCTTTAGCTTCTCCTTTGCGGTAGGATCTTATTTTGGGTCACAACCCTTAGGTACAAGGATTCGTATTTTGGTAAGGGACTTAGGCAAACCATCAGGCTCCTCCTTAGCTTCATATTCATCAAAGGGGGGAGGCAAAACCGAGTGGAGGTCCTTGAAGACATCTTTATGTTTCAGCTCCGATGGTTTCTTCCTCTCCTTTGGTTTGGGATAGTGCTCATTTTTCTTTGGATCTTTAGGCGGCAAGGCTCCTTCCTTGGTCGTGAGAGTGGCTTCCTCTGGTGGTAGCTTGGCTGCACTTGGGGCTGACTTGAAAATGTCATAAGATCCAATGTAGAGAGCTTCTTGAGGAACGTCTTGTGACCTTTTAATGTCATCTCCAGGGTCTAAACTTGCTCTCTCCTCACTGTAGATGGTTGTACAACATGAGGTTTCAGTAGGAACGCCAGGATAGAAGACCTTCTTCTTGATTTCAGAGAAAGAGACTTGTCCCTTGCGAAAATCAAACATTGCTCCCACGGTTGTAAGGAAAGGAGTCCCAAGGACCAGTGACATAGAAGCTTCATCTTGCATCTCTATGATGTGGAAATCGGTGGGGACTAGACATCCACCTACTTGCATCTCTAGATCACGCACAAAGCCATATGGAGTTGTGCTAGAAGCATCTGCAAACTTGAGCATCTTTCCAGGAGGCTCCATCTCTACAATCCCAAGCTTCCTTGCTATGATTTTAGACATGAGATTCACTGTAGATCCTGTATCACACAAAGATCAATAAAGTCAATACCATTGATTGTGCAAGGGAAGATAAACTTCACTGGATCTTCTCTCTTCTTAAGCCTCCTTTGATGTGGTGCTTTTGAAATAGGCTCATCATCTTCACGCCTTGTCACATGATACTTGGAGGTTGATTGAACTCTAGGGGCTGGTGAAACGGCATCTTTCTTCTTGGTTGTTATCACCTTGCAAAACTTAGGGTTCTCCTCCACTTTTCCCGGAAGAACATTGGCTTGTCTCTTGGATCCTTCTGCAATTTGGGAAACTTGCACTTCCACCATCTTAACATGATTAGAGAGGTTGATAAATCTCTCATACAGCTCCTGGTTACTCCTTTGAAGATGATCATGCATGCTATCCATCTTGAAACCAATGGTTTTTGTTATCTTTGGCGCATTGCTTCATTCCTTCAATGAATTTCTCTTGATTCTCCATGAACTGATGCATCATATCTTCAAGGTTTCTCTCTTTAGGTGTCATGACCACGTGATCTTGGTCTAGAAGAGGATCTTCAATGCTTGGCTGAGGGTTTCCATGGTTAAAACCGTTGTGATTTCGGTTTTCATTGATGTTTCCAAACTCACCAACATAATTCACTCCTTCTTGATGCTTAGAAGAACTTTCACCAATAAGATCTTTATTATACTTACTGCTAGAAGCCACCACGTTCTCACATAGGTCACCATTGCCTTGTTGGCTCTTGAGAAGTTGAGCAACCAATGACTTTAGCTCAAAGATTTCTGAAAAGTCAGATTTTGGTTTGATCTCCTCCACGCCTTGCACATAGTCTTGGTATGAACTTTTGCTGCTTTCTGCCAAGTTATCAATGAGAATGTTGGCTTGAGAAATAGTATTAGTCATGAAGTCCCCTTGACTTGCGGTGTTGAGCGCCATCTTGAATTTCTCATCAACTCCTTGATAGAAGAAGTTTAGCAAAGCAATCTCTGTAAAACCATGGTGAGGGCACTCTCTCTTGTACTCCTTGAACCGTGAAACAGCCTCAAAGAATGATTCATGTGCCTCATGTCGAAATTCTGAGATTCTTCTTCTCATCCATTTTAATCTCTCTTTTGGGTAGAAATTCTTCAAGAAAGCTCTCTTGTACTCATCCCAAGTAGTGATTGATCCTGCTGGAAGAGCTCTCATCCATTTTTATGCCTTCTCAATCAGGAAGAAAGAGAATAGAGTACACTTCAAGTAATCCTCAGAAACTCCACTATATCTCCTTGTAGCGCAGATTTCTTCAAACCTCTCAATATGATCAATGGGCTGCTCTTCCTCTAGGCCACGAAACTGATGCTGCTCCACCAAAGCAATGAGTTTAGAGCTTATCTTAAACTCCAGTAGGTGGTAAAGGGCATATAGGTGGGCGTTTTGTGAAGAAGATGTCTAGTGAATCAAAATCTCCGATTGGGCGGTTTTGAGGCTCCATCTTCTATGTCTCGTGAATGCTTCTTTAAGATCTCCTATCTCTTAATCAAGGTACCTTGAAACACACAAAGATAGAGAGAAGTAAAGAAGTTAGTAAAAATAAGAACAAAAATCCAAAGGGAAATGCAAATAAAAATGAATTTAAACAATGTTCTAGTCTAAACTCTAATCCGAAACTCTTAGGCAACTGTTTGGTCCCCGGCAACGGCGCCAAAAACTTGATGTGGGATAAGTTTCACCCAACTATTAGTAGATACCGCAAGTGCACGGATCGTTGGTAGTATGGGTTATCGAACACAAGGACCAGAAAAGTTGCACTATGAATTTATGAGATTAAAACTTAGCTAAAACTAAATATGGGGGTTTGGTTTTAGAGCTGTGAACAGTGGCGAAAATAACAATGAGTGAGCTTGAAATCAAGTGAAACAAGTTATCAAATCAATAGGGAAAGCATTGGGCACAAGAGAATTCATTGGTCATCAAGGATTGGTTTAGTTGGATAGTTAAAAAAGGAATCAATAGATATGATCAAGAACTTGAATTATGAATGGATAATCAACTTACTCCCGCAATGTCAATTAAAATGTCTAACAACCTAAGATCACTCTACTCCCATAGGCAATCAAGTGGTTAAACAAGCACAAATAATTCAAATTCAATATGCTCCACAAAGCATCATAATTCTACTCCCGCAGGTTATGGTGATTTGTTCATCAAGATTATTTCAAGTGATTTATCAAGCTTTCGGAAAGTAAATCAACTCTAGGGCAGTAGCAGGACGTTCAGTCAAAGCTATAAGCATTAAGCACAAATCAAGATGAGGAACTCAATCAATAATCCCGAATCTAACAACCTAGTAATCAATCCATGAATCCCTTGAAAACTCTTGAACCCAACAATAGGACTACTCAGCCATGATGCAAACAAACAAGCAAGAGATGTATGAGAGCATTATGTGAATATTAAAAGAGATAAGGGATGAAGAAAGCTTCTCTATTGAAGAACAAGTCGAAATCTCCCTTGAAACTCTCAAATCCGAAATAACAAAAAAAAAAAAGAAAAAGAAGAACAATAGTGATCAATCCATGAATGCCTTGAAAACTCTTGAACCCAACAATAGGACTACTCAGCCATGATGCAAACAAACAAGCAAGAGATGTATGAAAGCATTATGTGAGTATTAAAAGAGATAAGGGATGAAGAAAGCTTCTCTATTGAAGAACAAGTCGAAATCTCCCTTGAAACTCTCAAATCCGAAATAACAAAGTTTAAGAGAAAAGGGAAGAACAAAGTGTGAAGGTTTGTGTGTGTGTGTGCTTTAGATCTTGAGAAACACCTCTTCTCTCTGCTCTCTTCTGCTCTCCAGGACGGCTCTATCTCCTCTCTAACGGTGCACACGCTTCTCTCCTTTCTCCAGAGGCTAAAAACTTGCATATATAGGTTGTAGATCGGTTAGGGTATTGAAGTGCCGGAAAAGGAAAGTTTCCCATGAGCCAGTCCTTCTTCTCCACGTCGTGTATGGACCGATATTGTACCAAGGAAAGCTCCAAACATTAGCCAGGCCTCTTCTTTATTTAATCAAGGCCTTTGGCGCTGCTGCTCGGGCCATTAGACACTCCAAATCCTCCATGGGCTTCGTTTGCTCGTTTACCGGACATGTCTCGGTAGAAAATAAGTTCCGGCCTTATGATTGATCCAAATGGCTTCATTCCACATCGACGTGATGCATGACTCAAGTATCTATCTTTCCATATTAAGATAGTGACTTTTGGACGTCGGGAACTCCTCTTCGCGCGGCCAAACTTCTGAAGCTTCGTTCTGCTCGCCTAGCGAGAACTAACACTTGGAGATAAAATGATGCTCTTGACTTGGAAACTTGCATGGATCATGGTTTGAGGCTCTTTTGCTCCTTTTTCCATCCTTTTTTATAGTTTACCCTGTTAAGACTCCAAAACCAACAAATACAAGAAAACTACCTCCAAAGGCATAAAACCTTTATGAAAGTGCTTAAAAACACATGAAAATAATAAGTAAAATCATGTAAATTATGGATATATCAGCAATAAGTATCTGGTGGGTGATTCACAGCTGGATAGACAATCTCTCCATGAATGTCCCTTGGCACACTGCCTTAGGAAAAAGCTTTAGAGTTCTTGTCACTTTCTCCTTGAATCCTTCTAGATTCTCATCAATAAGCTCCTTTGGGAATAGAAGCTTCATGTTGCGGCCAGACCTAGGCTTTCTAACCTTCCTTCTTGGCTTGGCCTCATCTTCAATCTTGGTTGATCCCTTGGGCGGTTTTGGTGTAGGGGCCTTAGTCTTACTCCTTGCTTGTTTGGCAAGCTGCTTGGGCTTAGGAATGGGATCTTCCTTGATTGTTTCTTCAGTTTCTCCTTCTTGGGGTGGCTTCAAAGTAGCTTTCTCCTCTTGGACCATGTCAACAAAAGAGTTCTTTGTTGAACACATAGGGAAGAACATACCCTTGTTCACCTTGTTGAAAGAGATTCTTTGATTGGGGAAATCAAATATGGCACCCACAGTAGACAGGAAAGGGGTTCCAAATATGAGAGGTCTATGGCTACTCTCTCTCATTTCCACAATCTGGAAATCAGTAGGGATAGAGCAATTTCCAATCTGCACCATCACATTAGGCACAAAGCCATAGGGGTTTGTGAGAATGAATCAGCATAGTTGATGGAGATGGATGATGGCTCTATCTTGGTGAGGCCTATCTTGTCAGCTATCCTCTTAGACATGATGTTCACATTGGCTCCTGTGTCACACAAAGATTGCTCAAGAATGTTACCTTTGATGATACAAGGCACAACAAACTTTCCTGAGTTATCTGTCTTGGGGATAATCTTTGGGAAGAGTCTTCTCTTTCTAGCTCGATTGGACTCTCTCTCTGGGTAATTCTCTTCAGGCCAAATCATGCAATCAACAGTAGGTTTTGAAAGCATCCATTCTGGAACTTGGTCTTCAAATCTTTCTTCTATGGCGGCTGAGTTGCAAAAGGACTTCTTGGATTCAGCTTCCTGTCTCTTAACAGCTTCCATAGTTTGAGTGACTTGAGTCTCTAGTTTCTTCACATGAGTGGCAACAGCATCATACTTGGTGTTGAGATTGCTGAACAAAGTGTCCATCTTCTCATACATCTCTTTAGTATTCTCTTCTGGCCATCCATGATCTGTTGGAGGATTCCTTCAAATCTTCCACCTTGTTGGTTTGGAGGAGCTTGATTTGGTGAAGAAGCATATGGCTCCTTGGGCGGATATGATGATCTCTGCTCATATCCTTGCCTTGGCTGAAATTGACTTCCTTGAGATTGGTAAGGAGGTCTTTGTTGTTGTGGATACCTTGGAGGATACACTTGGTCTTGAGGATTCTCCACATTGGGGTTTCTATAAGACATGTTGGGGTTTGGGCGATAGCTTGGATTGTATCCCTTGTTCCCATAGTTTCCAATGTAGTTCACATCTTCTTCATTGGCTTCATTAGAGAAATCTCCCATGCATTCTCTTGATGGGTCTTCATTAGCATCACTCATCCCTTCTATTGCATTGATATGCTTGAGCTGTCCCTTAAGAACTTGAGCCATCATGTTCTTGAGTTCAGTCATTTGAAAAGAATCAGGGGAGCTAGTAGTGGTGCGGCTTGAGCGGTCATAATCAGGACAGTTGTTACAATCACTAGCTGCAAGATTCTCAATAAGAACCTTAGCTTCATCAACAGTCTTGGTCATGAAGTTTCCATTGCTTGCAGTGTCCAATGAAAGCTTGTACTTGTGGTCTATGCCACGATAGAAGATGTTCCATAGGTTTCCCTCATTGAAACCATGATTAGGGCAGTCCCTAATGTACTCCTTGAATCGGTCTAGCGCCTCATAGAAAGATTCATTGTTGGCTTGGCGAAAGTTGGAGATCTTGTTCCTTACAGAAATTGATCTTGTTTGGTGTAGAAGTGGTTGATGAAAGCGGCCTTGTACTCATTGAAAAACTAGATTTGTAGAAGATCCAAACCCTCAAATCTCTGCTCATATCATCGTAGTATAGTTAAGGTATCAATCCAAATCTCGGAGAAGATTGGGTTTTAAAGATTGAACAAGAAAGCTTCAAGCCAAGAACAAGATTTGGTTTTTAAGAAATCCGAACGTTAAACAGTGAAATATCAACTTAGAACAGTAAATTAACGGTCCAAATCCGAATTCAAAGGCAAAGGTTTCGACTTTGAGCTAAAAGACTTGAACTTTGTGAGAGAAAGGAAGAAAGGCGATAGCTTTAGGTGATTTCGGATGAAATCGAGCTAAAGGAAGAAGCTTTAAGACTTAGAAGACAAAACCGAGTTTCTAGGCTAAGGAAAACGAAAGCAAGAGCTTATCACTGTCGTGAATGAGCTCGAATGCAAGGTCCAAGCTCAAGAACTGACTATCGTCAGTGAGCTTGTACACGAGCAAGCTTTAAACGCGATCCCAACACCAAAGAGCTCTCTAAACAAATCGCTATCGCGAGCTAGAAAAGCAGATCCCTTGTCTTAGATTATCTAGCTCCTCAAACACACTTTTGATGTGTTGAGAGCTTGAGATCTGAGCCAAGATGATCAGAAATGACTCGGCCTTAAGGGCATTAAGCAAGGAGAAACTCTAAAGGTTCTAGCTTTAAGCTCAAACTCTCCTTTAAAGCTCTCAAAACCGAATCACCTAAAACAATCTAACGACTACTCACTCATCCTGTTTCTCAAACCATTCTCATAGGAGGAAGGTTTGTTTAACAAGTAAATGAGATGCGATAGATAAAACGAGTAAACAAGTACGTGATTTTGATTAGAGGAAAGAGACCAAAGCTTACAAGGTCTAAGATCTCGAACTAGAGTATTTCTTGGTGGCAAAATGAAAGACAAATTACAAGGTGCCTAAAAACTTAGGACTTTTTAGTTTATATAGTGGAGACTCTAAAACCCTTCTTCTTTCCTTCCCAAGATTAAGCTCCAAAACGCCGCGTTTCACTTAGGCATGGTCAACTCTCATCTTGGTCAAGGAAAGCTTGTAAGGCGACAAACGGGTTCCTGATCCTGGTTCACATCCTGGTTGCTCTTCGTCTTGACGTCTCCGACACTCCTACTCCCAAACGGCTCCAAAGCTCCATTAAGTACCTGATTCAGACTCAAAATGCAATGTGTATGCAATGCAAATCCTAATGAAGATGCAAGTGATAGATAGAGATATATGGATATAAATGTATGAGAATGAGACTAGTAAGGTGGAAATATGCATGTAAAAGTATGCTAATGTATATTAATATATGTGTATATCAACACCCCCAAACTTGAATCTTGCTTGCCCTCAAGCGAGAAGAACGAATCTGAGAGATGCTGGTATATCGAGGACTCAAAACTCAAAGGTGCAATGAGAGGAAACGAAGTCAATGATCGGTTTTGAGAATCATGAAATGCAAGGCGAATGAGCTCTACTTCTAAAATTTTAGCCACACCTATCAAAGCAACAGGAAGACTCTAGACTCGACTTACACAATGTATTCAAATAACTCTCATCCTTTAACATTCAATTATCACAGAACCGTGAATCAACCGCTCATGCATTTCAAAGTACTCGTTTGGCTCAAGGGTAAGCTTCAAAGGACAAAGGTGGTCCTGTTTTCTGGTTTCAAAAATCAGCATAAGGGATCTCTCAAAGAAGAAGGTTGAGCTTTAGTAGAATGCTAAGGGTAAAAACCAAGGATGATACAAGGCTAGACTTCCATCTACCCGAGAACAATGAAGCACAATCCCCTGTTTCCCAAGAATCCTATCTACCCAAGAAAGCATAACTTGCTTTGACCCTTTTGTTTGGAACCTTTTCTTTTCTTTGCTTTCAAGCCCTTAGGAAAGGTTTCTACACTTCATCTAGCGGTTTGGGAGCTTTCTTTTGTTTGGCTTCTTAAGCTCTTTTCTAACTTGGCTCTTGCCTTTCTTTCTTTTCTTTTTCTAGCTAGAGCTTTTTCTCCTTTTTTTTTTCTTTTCCAAACCTTCACTAGAGCAAAACACTTTCACTACCCTTCTCTCCTAAGAGACTCTGCTTATAACTTTTCCTTCCCCTTTTAGGACTTTTCTTTGGAACTCTTTTTCTCTTCTTTTCCTTTTTAGAACTTCCCCAACCCCCAAATGGTGTTTCCCCCAAACTTAGTCCTAACTAGCTCAAAGGACCGAGCTAGAATCTACATGGAAACCTAGTCCTTGTCGGTAAAAACCCAACACTTTCTACCAAGCTCAACCAAAAAGGCCTCACACACTCAGAAATAGCAAGTTGGTTTCAAAGAAAAGTTTTGTTCAAGGTGGGGAAATCTACTTGGATTAACAAGAGTGGTGAAAAGGGTGAAAGAAAATCCAAGTATGTATATGTATCCACGAGTTCTTAGCATATGCACAAGGATGATAATTAGACAATCAAATTCAGGTTTCGATAAGCAGGATGAGAGATCAAATCACAACAATGCTTCAGCCGATTCTAGATGTCAAAGAGTGCATTCAAGATGTGGTTCTTTCTTAACTTCAATCTCACTCTATATGCACCAAATGATTCAAAACCGGACCATTGAAACCATTTCGAAAAATCACACCCTCTTATTCCTCATCATCCTCAATGCAAATGATATGCATCTAGACTCAATCCTAAAATGCAAATTCTCATGATGCTTTTCTTTTTGTGGAGTGCAATTTTCGAAATTGTGATGTATTTGCATTTTACATAGTTTTAGCACATCTTTTATGCATCTTTTGCATAGTTTTAGCTTCCATTTGCATCATATCTTGTTCCTTTTCTCTTCTTATGCATTCATGTTAGTTTTAGGTTGCATTTGCATACATATGCATGTTTGGTCCTTTGAAATAGGTCTTTTGGAGCATTCTGGAGCATATGGGACATAAGGAGCATGGAGGGACTTGGCACATGGAAGCAGCTCAACTGGATACGCAAAGGAAGAAGGGAGAAGCCATCTTGAAGACCAGCTCGACCGTCCACTCGACCAACCGGTCGAGTTCCTCAACTCGACCGGCCAAGCTTCAACTCGATCGAGCTGAGAAGTCAAAGTCAAACCCGAAAAATGTTGCTTCCCCCTTGACTTTCCTTTGACCCTAAACCTAATCCTCTTTGTATTTAAAGGCTCTAAGCCACGAAAAAACCACCAAGCTTTAGATTATTTTGTTTTAGTTTCTTTTAATTTATTGTCTTTTACTTTTTAGAGATCTAATCCCATCTTTGTGTTCTTGAAGCTCTTGCTTCTTGAATCCTAGATCCTGGATAATCTCTCTTGTATTTGCACTTGCTTATTTCAATAAAAGTTGTTTAATTTCATCTCCTCTTTCTTATGATGTCTCTTTTATTGCATTTGCTTGTGTTTACATTCATGTGTAGTGAGTAGTTACCCATTGGGTTTGAGATGGGATAGATTAGAGGTTTCATATGCTTAATCCTTCTAGCTTATGGTCTTAATCTAGATTCTCTCTCTTTTGGATAGATCTTAAGGCTACATGACCACTACCCCTGGCTTGTAAGTCCTTAGGCGACTCCCCACACGAAAGTGATGGCATTCGCTGGAAAAGATCCACTAAGAGCTCCAATATCTCTTGCTCTAGACAATAGAGGTCTAAGGGGTTGGATGGATTAGTTTGGGCAATGATCCTATAGCCTCCAAGGTTTGATTCTCACTGGCTAACCCCCTGTTTCTGAGATCATTCCTTGGTTGATAGCCTCCACCTTGGGAAAGGGTTGGCTAGGCATTGAGAAGCCCAATATCAAGAGAAGCCTTGATACAAGGAGTTTTAAGAGCTAGATTGATTAAGTGTAGATTCCTTTGATTGCAAAACCCTGTCTTGAACCCTAATTCTCTCTTTATCTTGTTAAAGTCGTCACCTTTAGCTTTGTTTGTCTCAACTCGTCCCTAAACTCGATCGAGCTGGTACTTTGCTCTGACTCGACTCGAGCTCTTGGTCGAGCTGACACTTCACTGCTTTGTTTACTTTTATTGCACTGCTTTTCATTTTATTTAGGTTGTTAGTGTTACTTCAAATCTTTAACTGCTTGCTTGACTTTCTGGTTGTTTCATATTCTCATAGAGTGACAAGTTTCCCATTTTGGATTGATAACCTCTTATACTTCAATGACTATGATGGTTAAGAGGAATTGATTGATTGTGATTGCACCATTACATCTTATTCACCCTGTTTGCATTCCACCTCATTTCATATCATTTCATTCACACACACAAAATCCTATCATCAATTTGGCGCCGTTGCCGATTTGGGAATATTTTTGTTGCATTTGAGTTTCAAACACACTTGGACGATCAAGCTATACCACCCCTGTTCTATTGTACTGCTGGGTTTTTGTCTCTTTTTGCAGGTGTATGCGAACTCGATCGAGTCGGTCTACTGAGGACTTGGTCGAGCTAGACTTACAACGGGTAGAAAGAGGGTTCAGAGGTCACAGAGGGTACAAGAGGAACCTGAGGTGCTTGTTGCTGATACAATGGATGTACCAGAGGGGAATGGAAACCCTTTGGGAATGGACTCGGTCGAGCTAGGCAAACTCGACCGATTGGTCAAGGAGATGCTCCAAACCGCCACCAACAGAGACAAGGGATTGTTCCACCACCAGTGCAGAACCACAACTTTGAGATCAAGCTGGGAATGATCAACCTTGTCCAGAACAAGATGTTCCATGGATTGCCAAGTGAAGACCCCATTGACCACCTTGATGAGTTTGATAGGCTTTGTGATTTGACAAAGATCAATGGTGTCTCTGAAGATGCCATCAAGCTGAGACTCTTTCCTATGTCTCTAGCTGACAAAGCTCACCAATGGGAGAAGAGCTTGCCCCATGGCACAATCACCACTTGGGATGAATGCAAGAAGGCCTTTCTTGCTAAGTTTTTCTCCACCGGTCGCACAGCCAAGCTTAGAGGAGAGATATCCAGCTTCATCCAGCGAAACAATGAGACATTCGCAGAGGCTTGGGAGAGGTTCAAAGGCTACACAAGTCAGTGCCCACACCATGGATTCAACAATGAATCCTACTCTCCACTCTTTATAGAGGATGCTTGCCTAGGTATAGGGAGATGCTAGACACAGCTAGCAATGGGAACTTCCTCAACCAGGATGTAGATGATGGCTGGCAACTTGTGGAGAACATAGCTAACTCAAATGGAAGCTATGGAGAAGAGTATGATCGCACCAACCGGAGCTCGACCCACCACTCGATCGAGTCAGACGAAAAGTTGAGAAAAGATGTTAAGGCATTGAATGAGAAGTTGGATAAGCTGATCCTAGCTCAGTCCACAATGAAGAAAGTCAACTTTGTGTCTGCTGAGGAGATGGAACCAGTCCAAGAAGGGGAGGATACACAATTTGCTGAGGTGTGCTACATGAGCAATGGGCAAGGAGGTTACAACAAAGGATACTATAATTACAAGTCCAACCCTGCCATGTCATACCGCAACACTGATGTTGCTAACCCTCAGGACCAAGTATATCCTCAACAACAAGCAGCTCGATCGAGTCAGGTGCCACAACATGGGTATGGTCAAAAGAACAATTACCAAGGACCACAAGGCACTTTCCCTGGACAACAAATGAATATCCCACCAGGCTTCCCCCACCAACCGCCCCAGCCTGCACCTTCACAAGAGAATGAGCTCAAGGCAATGCTAAAGCAACTACTTCAAGGGCAAGCTGATGGGGTAGTGGACACAAGCAAGAAGCTAGCTGAAATAAACTCTAAGATCGAGAACCTCAACACAAGGGTTTACTCTCTGGAGAATCATGCTTCTTCTGTTGCTGCTGCTACAAAGCAAGGACAACTACCTGGTAAAGCTATTCAGAACCCCAAGGAACAGTGCAAGGTCATCTTCACTCAAGAAGGACTTGTTGAAGAAGAGGATCAAGAAAGGGTCATTGAAGATTTTTGTTTACTGCTGAATGATGAAGAGATTGTTGCTGCTGAGGCTCCTGGAGTCCAGATTGATCAACCAGAAGTGCATGCACCTACTGTGGCCATTCACACTTCACCAGTTGAGCTCGCACGACAAGCTCGATCGGCAGCTCGATCGAGTCCAACTCTAGCTCGATCGAGTCCGACCTCTTCTGTCCGACAGCCTGTTTTGCTTGATCCTTATCAACCGGTTGCCGCTTCCTCGTCTCGCCTACTTAGTCAAGGTCACAAGGAAGTGATTCACAAGTTCAGAAGAGATCTCAGTGGGATTGGAATTGAGTTGCCTCCTATGGATAGCATGAGTGAGGCATTTGATCAAATGCAAATGGTCAAGGATGTTCTAGCCAACAGTGATAAAGTTTCAGAGGTCCTACAAGAGTCTACTCATCAGTTCAACCTGCTTACTTCACCCACCTTCCTACCAAAGGTCAAGGATCAAGGGAAATTCACTCTCCCTTGCACACTTGGGCATCTTGAGATTGACAATGCCTTAGTGGATTCTGGAGCAAGCATCAATCTGATCTCTCTCTCCATGGCAGAGAAGCTAGGCATTGCTGGAGCCTTGCAGCGCCCTACTACTTCAATCATGTTTGGAGATGCAACTTCTAAGTCTCCTCTTGGAGTGTTCAAGAACTATCACTTGAAAATTGGAGAATGCATCATCCAAACTGATCTCACTGTGATGGAAATGGAAGAAGAGAAGGATTTGCCTCTGTTATTGGGAACCCCTTTCCTTAGTACAGTTGGCGCTTCAATAGACTTTCACAAGCAAGAAGTGATCCTTCACAAGGTGAATAGTTTGGTGTCATATCGCTTGCAGCCTAGAGGTTCAGACTTTTGTGCCACAATTGACAGTACCACTCTCAGTTCTAAGAGTCATGGAGCTACAAAGGTTGTGAAGGAAAGGGTTGACAAGGAACCAAGAGTTGGGAAGGATAAGGATGAGAGAGGACCAAGGATTGAGAAGCCACGTCTTGAGAGGGCTAGAGTTGAGAAACCACGATCTGATAGGCCAAGAGCTGATAGACTTGTTCAAGCCCCTTGTGTGCTTGATGAAGAGAGCCTTCAAGCTTTGTTTGATGAGCCACTAGGAAGGGCTCTAAAAGAAGGGGAGGATGTAGCCTCTAAGGCAAGACCAGGGATAAAAGAAAGGATCCACCAGCTCAGGCCCCTTCAGTCAAGCCATCTCAGCTCACAATGACTTTGTTCCCCACCAAGTTTGAAAATGGGAAGATTGAGTACAAGATAAGGTACAAGGGGAGATCAAGGCCATTCTCTAGAGCCAAGGCCTTGGTGACTTCAGAACAGTCCAGGGACCCAACCAAGCTAAAGGAGCTTCTGTCTCAAGTCCTCACTATCACCCTTGATGGTGGGACTAGCTCAACCAATGCCTAAGAAGGTAAAGGTCAAGCTATGGGACCTTAAACAAGCTCACTTGGGAGGAAGTCCCATGTTTATCCTTGTACATACTCTATTTATGCAATTTCTATCTATCTTTATGTTTTTAACCTTTGAATAAGTTAAGTTTAGGTGTCAAAGGAGCCAGCTCGACCGATAGCTCGATCGAGCTAGAAACCAGGGCAACTCGATCGAGCTACACAACTCGACCGAGGTAAGTTTTTGAATTTCAAATTCATAACCGTTTTCTTGGTCAAGGGAGTGGGTCCCACAAGCTGATTTTGGTCCCCCACTACCCTAATTTGATCAGAGAATCCCTAGCTTCTTGTTCCCTCTTTATTTCATCTTTTAATCTCAACCACACATCTCAAACACCCCTCTTCCCCATAACTCGATCGAATCCACCTTCTCCACTCTCCCACAATCTTAAAATTTCTGAAATCATCTCTCTCTCTCTCACCACAAGAAAAATCGATTTCTCTCTTTCTCTCTTAAGTTTTTGCGATTTCTCTTTCTTTGTTTTTGCTTTAGTTCTTGTTTACTGTTTCTTCCATCATTCAAGCAAGGTATGAACCCTAAAACCCTTGATTCTCCATCTCGATTTCATATTGCTTGTTTCTCTTTGATTTTTGATTGCATGTGTCCCTTGTGGACTTGTTCTTGAGTAATTGCTCATATTTCGCCTCTGCTGTATAATCTTGTTAATTTGTTTCACCTCACCTCTGTTTTGCCTTTAAACTTGTTGCATGTGCTTGAAAATTGAATTTGAGTTTGGTATTGGTTAAGGTGCTATGTTTTCACTAGAATTGCTCATTGTTCCATTTACTAGTTGTTCTTGGTTCAATTTGATTGATTAGCATCCTTTCCAGCTCTTAATACTTGAATTAGGTTTGGTTATACTCTGTTTTCACCCAGCTCGATCGAGTTTGTCACTCGAGTTTTTTGACTCGATCGAGCTGAGTGTCGAGTTGACCAAACCGATCATTACAACTCTAATTCTTTGTAATCTTTGATGCATTTCAGGTACTTTAGTGAAGAAACAGTGTAACAAGATGACAAACAGTGAGGGAAGTCGTGCTTCACAGAGGAGATGGTTGAGGGTGAATCAAGCAATGCAAGGGAAAGAAGGCTTAAGATGCAAGCCGATTTGAGAGGATGGATCAGAGGATGGAAGAGGATGGAAGAATCTGATGCAGAGGGATATGTCTACTCTGAGGAGACAGTCTGAGAGTGAGAGATTGAGGGAAGAAAGGAGAACCAAGAAGAGGAATGACCCCATTAGTAGTGAGAGTGAGCAAGGGGAGTTTGAGATTGGAGTGAACCTTGTTCAAGAGGAGGGAAATGGTCTCCAAATGAAGAAGGAGTGATGAGACTGAGAGTGAAGAAAGGAGAAGAGGTGAACCAATTGGTTGATGAAGATGAGCAAGAGGGAACCAAGATGAACCATGGAGGAGGTTGAGCCACAAGAGCAGAAGAGGAGGAGAGCTCCCCATGTACCAAGAGCACTACAATGCTCTCTTCTCCATGGACTTCATGGAGACCAAGTACCCACATGTTGACACAATGAAGGCCCTTGGAATCTTTGAGGATGTGGAGTTGGTCTCAAGAACATGCACTTGGCCAAGCTTTTCTCTTACACATGGAATCCTACAAGGAGCTCACTTGCGAGTTCTTAGCTTCAATGAGGTACCACATGTATGAAGAGGAAGATAGAGCTGATTTGGACCAAGGATTGGGATGGATCACGTTCTTGGCTAAGGGAGAGAAGAGAATGGTGACCTTTAGGCAGCTTGGAATCTTGTTTGGGTTCAACTATGGAGAAGGTACCAAGTGGAACTTCAAGGAAAAGGAACTCCAAAGGGTTTGGGCTACAATCGCTGATGGAGTGTACTCTTCCTCAAGGTCCAAGGCTGCTCAGATCAGGAGCCCAGTGCTTGAGGTATGTGCACAAGGCACTTGCCAACACCTTCTTTGCAAGGAAGGCGACCGGGACAATCAACGAGGGGGAACTCAAGTTTCTTGACATGGGAATCAAGCCCATTCTCTCACGCACAAGCGATGGCAAGAGGATCAGGGGAGATAGATCTGACACAGGGAACTTGATGCCTTCCTTGACCATCTCCTACCTACAAGATCACAGCTTACAACACTAGGCATCAACGAGGGAAGGCGCTAAGTGTTGGAGGGCTCATCACCCTATCTTGTGTGCTGCTGGAGTGAACCCAACTGATAGAGAGCCACTGAACCAGGTTGGATGGACATCAAGTTTTGCAAGACCAACCTCTCATTGAGCACAAGGAGTTGGATGGGAGATTCCAATTCAAGTTCACACATCCATTGGCTGGACCCTCCAAGCTTCTCCTGCCCAACCCAGAGCTCACCACAGTAGTAGGGGTGAGAACATTGACTTCAGACCCCCTGTGTACACATTAGTTGGGCATGAGGATGATTTGCGAGAAGAGGAGCCTGACTCGATCGAGCTGAGCGATCGAGCTGAGGATCGAGCTGAGCTCAAGCTGAGGATCGAGGAGCCAGGAGAGCGGATTTGGGTGAGCCTGAGTGCTATTACTTTGAGGAGTATGAGGCTCCAAGGATGAACCCCTCTGTTGTGGCTGCCACAAGAGGATTGGACTTCTCCAAAAGTTCAACAAATGGCAAGGGAAAGCCATTGAGAAGATGCAAAAGTCCATGGACAAGATGGTGAGCAAGATCAAAAGTTTGGAGAAGAAGGTTTCTGGTTCTTCAAGCAAGAAGAAGAAGTCCAAGGCCCCCACATTCCTAGGAGTAGATCACTCCTCACCACTCCAAGGAGGCTCCCTGCCCAAGAGCCTCACAGAGCCTCTTCTTTCGAGCCAAGGGAAGGAGAAGACAACACGCAGAGAAGGAGGAAGACTTCCAAGGCCAGACGCTCCAGCTCGACCACCGGACTCGATCGAGTCCAAACAGAGGAAACTCAACTCGATCGAGCTGACGGTCGAGTTGACCTGGAGGAGCCCCTGTTTGAGATCCGGATTTGAGTACGATCCAACGCCTACCAGGACTTCTCCCAGAGATGGACCCCTACAACAGCTTCGAGCAAGCCAGCTCCACCAAGGCCAAGGAGCCACACACTTTCAAGATGAAGAAGAGGAGGAAGAGGAGCCGCAAGCTCGATCGAGTGAGCCACAAGAGGCAACCCAGTTGCATGGAGTGCTCCTGATGGCCGTCTCCATCTCCAGACCACGACCTAGTCTCCCAGTTCTTTGGGGGACACTGAGGTATCCAAACACCAACCCTTGTATATACCATTTCATATTTTCTTGCATTTGTTCTTGTTTTTTCTTGGTTTTGCCCTCTTGAATCTTTCACTAAATTTTTCTCACACAAGGGACTGTGTGATTTAAGTTTGGGGGAGGGTTCAAGAGATGATTTAACCTTGTTTTCTTTGTTCTTAGTTTTTCATTTATCTTTTGCATAGAAAAACCAAAAAAATCATAAAATTTTCAAAAAATCCAAAAATATTTTCATCTTTTTGCATTCATATTTGTTAGACTTGTTTAGGATTGCATTTTTCACTTGCATTGTTGATTTGACTTTGAAAACTTGTCCATCTTTTGCGATTTCTTGAGTGCCCTGTTTTTAGATTCTTTTGTGCATTAGGGTGAGATTGATTGAGCAGCAAGAACCATGTTTATCTTGATCATATCACTGCATGCACATCTCATTCAACCATTGCTGTGATTTGATGCATTTCCCTATCTATTTGAACCATAACTTGATCTTTAATTACCAATGCTTGCATTTGATTTCAACTCATGGCTACCACATACATATCTGGACATTCTTTACCTATTTTCATATCCCTTTTGCTTGTCCAGATAGCTGATCTCTATCTTTGAGACAGTTACCACACCTTAAACCTAAGCCTTTTCATTTCAAACCCCATATTATCTCTTGTGCGAATGTGAGAACCTTTCTTGGCTTTGCTTAGCATAAGGTGTTGTGTTTAAACCGGCAGGGGCAGTAGTTCTAGTTGTCTAGTTCTCTTGGGATTGTTTTCAGGCTAAGTTTGGGGGTGCCAACTCGAGCTCGATCGAGTTGGGTGTAAAAACCAGAAAAGTGGTAAAAGTTGGGAAAAACCCAAAGGAAAAAGAGTTTGGTTAAGTCCAGGGAGTTGGCAGTGTTAAAAAGGGTCTAGTAAAGGTTTGGGAAGTTAAAAAAAAAGTAAAAAGGGTTCTAAGTAGAATGAAAAGAAGGCAAAGCCTCAAGTGTCCAAAAAGGAAAGAAAAGTTCCCTAAGTGTTTAGAAAATCCCAAACCGCTAGATGTTACCTCAAGAAGCCTCTCCCTAGGAAGTTCTTAAAAGAAAAGTGAGCAAAGCTCCTCAGTTTCAAAGGCGAAATGCCAAAAAGGGTAGTTAGGATTTTGTTCTAAAAAGGTGTTGAACTCGATCGCGGCTCGAGCTGCTGTTCTTGCATCATCTTTGGTTCTAACACTTAGCCTTCTGCCAAAGCAAAGCCACTTTCTTGAGAGATCCCTGTTACTAAACCACCATACAAAAGAGACCCTCTTTGTCTCTTAACCCATAAACCCTTGAAACCAAATGAGTTGATTGATCTTGCATGTTTTTGGTTCACTGTTTTTGCTTAATGAATGTTAAAGGGATTTGCTGATTTGAATGCATTGTTTGAGTGACTGTGAAGTGGGATTGATGTTGATAAGCATGGTTAAATCTTAATGAATATCTCTCACCTTGTTGCATTCTAGAATCTCTAAGTTGGACATTTAGCAAATCGCTTTTGAGGACATGTTTTTAAGTGTTGAATCAGCTTATTTTCAAACCTCATCTCTTTCTTGTTCTATTTGTTTGCTTGAGGGCAAGCAAAGTTCAAGTTTGGGGGTGTTGATGTACTTGCATTTTACATAGTTTTAGCACATCTTTTATGCATAGTTTTAGCTTCCATTTGCATCATATCTTGTTCCTTTTCTCTTCTTATGCATTCATGTTAGTTTTAGGTTGCATTTGCATACATATGCATGTTTGGTCCTTTGAAATAGGTCTTTTGGAGCATTCTGGAGCATATGGGACATAAGGAGCATGGAGGGACTTGGCACATGGAAGCAGCTCAACTGGATACGCAAAGGAAGAAGGGAGAAGCCATCTTGAAGACCAGCTCGACCGTCTACTCGACCAACCGGTCGAGTTCCTCAACTCGACCGGCCAAGCTTCAACTCGATCGAGCTGGAAGTCAAAGTCAAACCCGAAAAATGTTGCTTCCCCCTTGACTTCCTTTGACCCTAAACCTAATCCTCCTTGAGCTCCAATATCTCTTGCTCTAGACATAGAGGTCTAAGGGGTTGGATGGATTAGTTTGGGCAATGATCCTATAGCCTCCAAGGTTTGATTCTCACTGGCTAACCCCCTGTTTCTGAGATCATTCCTTGGTTGATAGCCTCCACCTTGGGAAAGGGTTGGCTAGGCATTGAGAAGCCCAATATCAAGAGAAGCCTTGATACAAGGAGTTTTAAGAGCTAGATTGATTAAGTGTAGATTCCTTTGATTGCAAAACCCTGTCTTGAACCCTAATTCTCTCTTTATCTTGTTAAAGTCGTCACCTTTAGCTTTGTTTGTCTCAACTCGTCCCTAAACTCGATCGAGCTGGTACTTTGCTCTGACTCGACTCGAGCTCTTGGTCGAGCTGACACTTCACTGCTTTGTTTACTTTTATTGCACTGCTTTTCGTTTTATTTAGGTTGTTAGTGTTACTTCAAATCTTTAACTGCTTGCTTGACTTCCTAGTTGTTTCATATTCTCAAAGAGTGACAAGTTTCCCATTTTGGATTGATAACCTCTTATACTTCAATGACTATGATGGTTAAAAGGAATTGATTGATTGTGATTGCACAATTTCATCCTTATTCACCCCTGTTTGCATCCCACCTCATTTCATATCATCCTTCATTCACTTCATCCACGTAAAATCCTATCATCAAATTGTTTCAATCAATTATTATTATTTTATTTTTTTTTGGTTTTTCTATGCCATATATGAAATGCAAAACTACATGAGACTCAAGGATGAGAAACAAAAATAAGAATCACAGAAAACATGATCAAATGCTGTGGACCTCTCCCCCAAACTTATAGTGCACAGTCTCTTGTACACAAAAGAGGATGAAGAAGAGATTCATCAAAGAGATGCAATGACAAAGAAAAAGAAAAATAAAAATGAGTGGTATTTACAAAGATTTTGAGTCTGACTTTACTCGTTGTCAGGGTAGGGTGGTGTGGGACAATCGTCAAGATCAATCGGCTCCGTTGAAGACGTTGGAGGTGGTGATGCGCCGGTTTTTCTCTTCCGCTTGCTTCTCCTTAACGTTGGCTCCACGGTTTTACTTGGTGATGCGGCTTTGGTTGCTTTAGGTGATGTGCAAGAGAGCTTCTCCTTGAGGAAATTGACCGTCTCGGTGAGCTTCTTGATCACCTCATCCTGTTTCTTGCACCACCTTTGGAGCATGCCAATGTGCTCGTGTGCCTTGATGATCGCCGGGACACTTCCACTTGCGTTGTAAGGGATGAAGTCAAACTCACCAAGCTCACTTGCCTGCCTCGAGGAAGGCTCTCCTTGTTCACGCCCTTGTTCTTCATCGACCATGGCGTCGCCTCCATCCATGAATAACTGATCAGCCGAGGGGAGAAACAGGATTCCATCCCGGCTGTTGGTGTTTGTAAGATCGGTGTTCGGAAGAAAGACTTTCGAGACGCCAAACGTGGGATGTTCGAAGCGATAGATGTGCTTCCCATCATGCATTCACGCAAGAACCATGTCTTGTTCAGGTAGGCGATGTCAATGAACTTAGGTGGATGAGAAGGGGCCGGGAGCTTGACTTTGTAGCAAGTAAGATCGGAGTGATCATGCTACCTATCGCCAAGTGAGATTCCTTGATCTTGCCTTGCTCGTATAACAGCTCTGCGTTCCTCATTATATGCAGGAAGGAGTTCACCATCACGACTGCTTTGCTTGTTTCTCTCAAGTCTCCTTTCATTTCCGTTCCATCATCCAGAATTTGAAGCTTCTGGATTATGCCTTCATCGAGCAGCTCGAGTTCTTGCGTTGTGACATTTGAGCAGTCATGTCGTGCAAAGAGGGTATTGGCGATCACCTTATGAGCGTAGCGTATGGCCGGGTTCTTGATGCAGCCGCTCTTGTTCTTGAGATCTGATAAGATCTCGAGCTTATCATTCTCCAAGGCATGGAGCTCAGTTGCGGCTACACACAACTCGGTGTTAAGACCTCGATCCTCTTCCAACTTGTAAATGGTCTCCAGCTCCTTCATGCTGAATAGATGCTCTTGTCCCAGAGCGTGAAGGTATGTATCCAATCCCATCTCTCTTGAGCTCAGCAGCTGCTTCTTGAGGATGCTTCTTGAGTTTCAGGGATGCAAGAACTCCATTGTTGGTTTCTATACGCCGGGAGGGCTAGCTTCGTGAACTCCCCCAACTCAGTGTAGTAGAGGATATCATTTACATCCTCTATTCCAGCTCTCTTGATTGTTTCCGGATGTGGGTATCGCATCGACATGAACTGCATCCTCCTCAAGATACGGATGCGTTCCCGGACCCCATAAGGTCTTGGGATCATCGAGTCATCCATGTCCTGGCCAGCAGTCTCTGGCCATCTTCAGACCCGATTCCTTTGGGCCTCCCTTCCTCTTTCCACTGTAGTCCATCTTCGTCTTCCCTTCACGCTTTCTTCCCTTGCTTTCTCCACGTCTTCACTCTGAACCGGCTTCTTTGTGAACTTTGTTCTTGCCATTGGTACCTGAGAGGTAAACAATTCTCAAGGACATGATTAGCTCTGTTTCATGAACACTCACAAACAAGAAACTTCAAAACTCTCGGTTTAAACCAAATTCTATTTGTGCGATTAAGAACGAACTCAAAACCTTCAAATCCAACCGCTCAAGAACATGTAACAGGAAATTTTAAAAACATGCTATGAACCTCGAGATTTTAGCTAGAAAAAACTCAAGAACACTTTGAAAAACCTGATCTCGAAATTCACTTAAAAGCACGAAAATTTCCCACATGCAAAACTCGAATTCGACCTAACCTAGTCGCAATCAACCTGGATCTACTCAAGAATGGCAACAAACAGGTTTCTCTTTTGGGTTCCCAAAAAGGAAAAACCGCAAGTGAAAGAGTAAAAACGAAGATCGAATACCTTGATTGGACTGTCGGATTAGATGAATCGAGCTAAGTTTGATCGAGCGGCGGATTTAAAGAGATTTGAGCTTTGAAATTCGAATTTTGTTGAGAAACGAAGAAATCCGAGATTTTCGTGTGGAGAATCGGGAAAACTTTTTGAAGAAGAAGAAACCCAAGTTTTAAAATAAAGGGAAAAAGAAAGGGTTTCTTTGGATTTTTAAAAATTCAAAAAGAAACGGGTCACTTACTGACGCGGGTTGTCAATCGGTTTTTAAACCGTTTCCGAACCTGATTGACAACCCGTTGCTTTAAAATTCACCCGGTTCAGCTGAGATTAGAGTCAAAGGAGTTTTGGATTGGGCAGTTGTCTTTATGCTCTAGGACAAGCAATGTCCCTTATAGAACTGCCCATTTCCAACTCCTTATTCTCTCTCAGCTCTTCTTCTTGCTCCATCCTACAAAACACATTAGATAAAAGCAAAACTAGATAAAAATAAAACTATTTACAAAAGGATAACCATGGGACTTCCTCCCAAGTGAGCTTGTTTTGAGTCTCATAGCTTGACTTTCATTGCCTTTTTAGGCTTGGGGTGGATCATGGAGACGGATTGAACTTCCTCTCCAATGCTTTGACTCCCCATGTACTTCTTCAACCGGTGACCGTTAACCGTGAACTCAACTCCATTGTTGTTCACTAGGGTGATGGCTCACTTCCTTGACCTTGAATGGTCCTGACCAGCGACACTTCAGCTTCCCAGGGAATAGCTTGAGCCTTGAGTTGTAGAGGAGCACATCATCTCCCTCTTTGAAAACCTTGGGAGTGATTCTCTTGTCATGGAAGGCCTTAGTTCTCTCCTTGTATATTCGAGAACTCTCATAAGCATCCAAGCGAATCTCCTCTAGTTCGTGGAGGTCCATTTCCCGCTTCTCCTTAGCTGTACTTAGCTCCATGTTTAGGAACTTAATTGCCCATCTAGCTCTATATTCCAACTCAAGGGGCAAATGGCAAGATTTCCCATAGATCAAAGAGTATGGAGATCTCCCAATTGGCGTTTTGTAAGCAGTTCTATAAGCCCACAAAGCATCATCCAATTTCTCTGACCAGTCCTTCCTTGATGAGTTCACTGTCTTGTGGAGTATGGCCTTGATTTGCTTGTTAGATACCTCCACTTGACCACTAGTTTGAGGGTGGTATGGTGTAGCTATCTTGTGCTTTACACCATATTTCTTCAAAAGGTTCTCAAACACCTTGTTCACAAAGTGAGTTCCTCCATCACTGATCACACATCTTGGGACTCCAAACCTTGGGAAAATATAGTCTTGAACAGCTTGAGGACCACTTTGGCATCGTTGGTGGTGCGGCTATGGCTTCACCCACTTTGAGACATAATCAACGGCGACAAGCATGTAAACGTTTCCGTGAGAGCAGGGTTGAATGGACCAACAAAATCTATTCCCCATACGTCAAACATTTCAACTTCCAAGATAGGATTCTGAGGCATCTCGTTCCTTGCCGTGATGTTCCCTGCCTTTTGGCAAGCCTCACACTTAGAGATGAAGGCATGAGCGTCTTTGAACATACTCGGCCACCAAAAACCTGCTTGCAACACCTTCTGGACCGTCTTAAAACCGCAAAATGGCCTCCATAACTTGACCCATGGCAATGGAACAAGATTCCCTCAACTTCCTCTTTAGCCACACATCTTCTGAACAAGTTATCATTCCCTTTTCTGAACAAATAGGGCTCATCCCAGTAGTAGTGAACCACATCTTTGAAGAACTTCTTTCTTTGGTAACCACTCCATCCACTTGGAACTTCCCTGCACACCAAGTAGTTTCCAAAGTCAGCGTACCACGGAACCTCTTCTCCTCTTGCTATTCGCGCCTCTTCTAGCCGGCATTTGGTCAAGTAACCTCTATCCACGATCTTAGCAGCCATGAGTTGCTCCTCAGGCAAAGAGTCATCGATGGGAACATCTCCTTCAATCCTCAATCTCGATAGATGATCGGCACGCTATTCTCGGTGCCTTTCTTGTCGACGATCTCGATATCGAACTCTTGAAGCAAGAGAACCCATCTAATCAGCCTCGGTTTCGCATCTTTCTTGGTGTAGAGGTACTTGAGAGCTGCGTGATCGGTGTGAACGATGACCTTTGATCCCACAATGTAGCTCCTGAACTTATCAAAAGCAAACACCACGGCAAGCAATTCCTTCTCGGTCGTTGCATAACGGGTTTGAGCATCATCTAGCGTTCTGCTTGCGTAGTAGATGACGTTCATCTTCTTATCCACTTTCTGACCAAGCACTGCTCCAACTGCGAAGTCCGAGGCATCACACATGATCTCAAAGGCAAGTCCCAATTGGAGCTTGGACAATTGGTGCGCTAACAAGGGCTTCCTTGATCTTCAAGAAAGCTTGGCTACACTCTTCATCAAAGATGAACTCTGTTTCTTTGCATAAGAGTCTTGTGAGTGGCCTTGCTATCTTAGAAAAATCTTTGATAACGCCTGTAGAAACCCGCATGTCCCAAGAAGCTTCTCACATCTTTAACTGATTTTGGCTCCCCAAGTTGCACCATTACTTCTATCTTTGCCTTGTCCACTTCAATGCCTTTCTCTGAGATCTTGTGGCCAAGGACTATCCCCTCTTTCACCATAAAATGGCACTTCTCCCAATTCAAAACCAAGCCTGTTTCTTCACATCTTTTCAGCACCCTACATAGATTAGACAAACAAGAGGAAAAGGAAGAGCCATAGACCGAGAAATCGTCCATGAAGACCTCAACCATTTCCTCTATTAGATCCGAAAAGATTGAAAGCATGGCTCTTTGAAACGTTGCTGGGGCATTACATAGTCCAAATGGCATTCTTCGATATGCGAAGGTGCCATAAGGACATGTAAATGTGGTCTTTTCCTGGTCATTTGGATGGATTGGAACCTGGAAAAAACCACTGTAGCCATCCAAGAAACAATAAAATGGATGACATGCCAACCTTTCAAGCATTTGGTCAATGAATGGCAAAGGAAAATGATCTTTCCTTGATGCAGAATTTAACTTACGATAATCAATGCACATTCTATGTCCAACTATTGTCCTACTTGGGATCAATTCATTCTTTTCGTTCTTGATGACAGTAATCCCACCCTTTTTTGGGACGCAATGTACTGGAGAAACCCAAGTACTGTCCGAAATAGGGTAAATGATTCCTGCATCAAGAAGCTTTCAAGATTTCTTTCTTTACTACTTCTTTAAGATTGGGGTTTAACCTACGCTGATGTTCAATAGATCCCTTTGATTCATTTTCAGATGGATCCTGTGAGTGCATAGAGTAGGGGAGAGACCCTTGATATCGTCCAGCGAGTATCCAAGAGCTCTCCTGTACTTTCGCAGCTCAACGAGGAGGGTTTCAAGCTCATGGGGGTCTAATGCATCATTGACAATGACAGGGTATGTGGAGTTAGAGCCTAAGAACGCATACCTGAGCCCCTTTGGGAGTGGCTTGAGATCGACTTTGGGAGCCTTAAGCTCAGACCAGTCATCGTCCGTGCCTTGCTCTTGAGAGCTTTCCTCCTTCGGTTTGACTCTAGAGCAAACAGGTTCTCAACCTGTTTTCCATCCCGGATGCTCTCTGTTTCTGACTGACCAACTCCTCAAAGCCTGTCCCTTCTTTTGCTGCTCTGTGTGAGTCCATAAGCCAAGCATAACCCATACTCTCTGCTTGTAGACACCCAAACTCCTCATTATCCTTAGTCAAAGCCAGCTGCAGCTTATCCTCAACTCCCAATTCCTCCAAGTAGTCATCGGCTAGCTGCTCAAGTGTTTCAATGTAAAATGACTCACCATTTATAGTTGGTTGCTTCATAACATCTTTTACATTGAACACCATCTTGCAGTCTTTACCCAAATTCAGCTCAATCTTGCCTCTTCTCACATCTATTATAGCTCCAGCAGTGGCAAGGAAAGGTCTTCCCAAAATCAGAGGATCTTTGGGTTCTTCATCCATCTCTACTACCACAAATCAGTTGGAACTATCACACTTCCCACCTTGAGTGGCATATCTTCAAGCATGCCTACTGGAAGCTTAACTGATCTATCAGCAAGGATCAGAGAGAAATGACATCCTTGTATTTCTCAAAACCCAAACGCCTTGCCACAGTCAAAGGCATTATGCTTACACTTGCCCCAAATCACACAAACTTTCTTGAATGCTAAAGGTCCCAAGGAACAGGGAGAGTGAAGCTTCCAGGGTCACCAAGCTTCTTTGTTACTGTCTTGCTTTGAATTATAGCACTACACTCTTGAGACAATACCACCATGCCTTGCACTTCCTTGGTTCTCTCCAAATAGCATCTTTCAAAAATTTCTGATAAGGCTTGATCATCATGAGAGCATCCACAAAAGGGATTTTCAGGTTGATCTCTGATAATTGCTGATCAAAAACTTTCTGCATTTCTCCGCCATTTGTTTCTTGAAACGTGTTGGGAAAGGCAGCATTGGTTTGAATGGTGGGGGAACAAAAAGAGTTTCCCTCCTCTTCTTGTTTCCTTTTGACGGTTCTGGTGCGCTGTCCTTCTGCTTCTCAGGCTCTGGTTCACTGATTCTTTCTCAACTCTCTCCTCAGCTTCAATGTCGACTGACTCCTCCTCCTCTTGAATCGCAACGTCCTCGTTGCGTCTTGATGGTACCACTCTCTCCGGAAGAACTCTCCCACTCTTAAGAGTAATTGCTTGCACATACTCCTTTGGATTTGCGATTGCTTTTCCAGGAAGCATTCCCTTTGAAGAGGAAGGTATGTTGTGGCTCTTAGCTTCCAAGTGTTGAACTTTGAGTTTAAAGATTCCAACTTCTTGTTGAGGTCATTGTAAGAGCAATCCACCTTGTTGTTGATCTCGGCTAGCTTGGTGTTAGCTCAGTAGCACCACTTGTTTGGCCCTTTGATTAGTTGTTGAAGCATGGTCTTCATATCAGATCTTGACTTGAGTTGCTCCCTGCTTGAGCTTGAGTGGCCTTGGTTCTGATTCCAAAAACCTTTGGTGGGTAACCACGCTTGAAGTAAACAGTTTGTTGGCCCCCTTGATTTTGGTTTTGTTGAGGTGGGTAGACTTGGTCTTGTGGATTCTCACATTGGTGCTGCGGTAAGAGAGGTTCGTGTTGTTGTTTGTGTTGTAACCCTTTGTAGTAACCTCCCTGATATAGCACACTTCCTCAGTTTGTTGGTCCTCCCCTCTTGGTTCACATCATCCTCACAAACAAAGTGAACTTGCTTTTGTTGGCCAGTCAAGATCTTGTCAAGCTTGTCATTCAATGGTCTTTGATCTCCTTCTTGTGCTTTTCATCATTGACTGAGCTATCTCCTCTGTCACTTCGATCATACTCCTCTGGATAGTTTCCATCACTAAGAGCAACATTCTCCACCAAAGCGAGCCTCATCTACATCCATTCCCATAAAATGACCCTTACTAGCTGAATCCAAATGCATCTTGTACTTAGGGGAGACTCCTCTGTACAATGTGCTTAGTAAGTTCTCTTTGGAGAAGCCGTGATGAGGACACTTCATTTGATATCCCTTGAATCGCTCATATGCCTCTGAGAATGTTTCACCGTGAGTTGTTGTGAAACTCGCAATGTTGTTCCTTAGCTGAGCGTTCTTGACGTGGGGAAAAACTTCGCAAGAAAGGCATGCTTGCATTGTTCCCAAGTTGTCACGGTTCCAGGTTGGATTGAAGACTCCCAAGCTAGTGCGTGTCCACTCAAAGAGAAGGGAACAATCGGAGCTTAAGAGCATCCTCAGTGACATTGTTGATCTTTTGCAAAGCACAATTCTATCAAACTTTTCCAAGTGCTTCAAAGGGATCTTCATCTTTCATTCCATGAAAGATGGAATTCTCCACCAAGTTTATCAAGCTTGTCTTGATGTCGAAGTTGAAATTTGGGACCGGTGGTGGGGTAATGCCGGGACGGTTCGCTGGAATCGTCGGAATATCGCCGGCTCCGATTTGTCTTGCCGGACGTTGAGCTGAACTGGATTCCCGGCTGTGGTGGAAAAGCTCCCGGTGGAGGAGCTCCTCCGTGGTTATCTGCCATTGTATCAGAGAAGAGTCGTCGTCACTGAGGTAACTCGGAGCCTGTCTGAAATCGAACTCGACTCTGCTTCTACTCTGTTTGCCGCCGACGCTCGCGTTTAGCTCGTTCAGCTCGTTGAAGTTCGTCGGAGCTTAACAAGTTTTTTGCCGCGAGAGCGTGTTTGCATACACCTGAGAGTAAGACAAGCAAAGCCCAGGCAGATTAGATGTGTAAGTTGCAGAAATTTAAAAACTTGAACTTGAAATTTTCCAAAATCGAAAAATCCCAATCAAATCCCAAGATTGGCAACGGCGCCAGTTTGAAAACTAGATTTTTAGAAGATCCAAACCCTCAAATCTCTGCTCATATCATTGCAGTATAGTTTAAGGTATCAATCCAAATCTCGGAGAAGATTGGGTTTTAAAGATTGAACAAGAAAGCTTCAAGCCAAGAACAAGATTTGGTTTTTATGAAATCCGAACGTTAAACAGTAAAATACAACTTAGAACAGTAAATTAACGGTCCAAATCCGAATTCAAAGAGGAAAGAAATCGACTTTGAGCTAAAAGACTTGAACTTTGTGAGAGAAAGAAGAAAGGCGATAGCTTTAGGTGATTTCGGATGGAAATCGAGCTAAAGGAAGAAGCTTTAAGACTTAGAAGATAAAACCGAGTTTCTAGGCTAAGGAAAACGAAAGCAAGAGCTTATCACTATCGTGAATGAGCTCGAATGCAAGGTCAAGCTCAAGAACTGACTATCGTCAGTGAGCTTGTACACGAGCAAGCTTTAAACGCAGATCCCAACACCAAAGAGCCTCTAAACAAATCGCTATCGCGAGCTAGAAAAGCAGATCCCTTGTCTTAGATTATCTAGCTCCTCAAACACACTTTTGATGTGTTGAGAGCTTGAGATCTGAGCCAAGATGATCAGAAATGACTTGGCCTTAAGGGCATAAGCAAGGAGAAACTCTAAAGGTTCTAGCTTTAAGCTCAAACTCTCCTTTAAAGCTCTCAAAACCGAATCACCTAAAACAATCTAAGACTACTCACTCATCCTGTTTCAAACCGATTCTCATAGGAGGAAGGTTTGTTTCACACGTAAATGAGATGCGATAGATAGAGGTATATCAGATGCCAGTGGAGGATGGGTTTGTGGGTTCGCTCTCAATACCAGCATATGCTCAGCTCCACTAGCAGATTTATGGGGAGTGTACTACGGACTCTATATGGCTTGGGAGGTACGAGTCCCGCGTTTGATTATTGAGGTGAACTCCGAGATTGTGATGGGTTTTCACACAGGGATTAGTGATTCTCACCCCATGTCATTCCTAGTACAGTTGTGCTATGGCTTTGTTTCAAGAGACTGGTTAGTCCGGTTTCATGCATACAAAGAGGCAAATCGGGTGGCTGACGGCCTTGCGAACCATGCCCTTTCTTTACCTTTAGGTTTTCATTCCTTCACTACTGCTCCTACTGAAATTCAGCTCCTAAGGTTTTCATTCCTTCGCCTGAGGTGTGGCGTAGTCCCTGGCGGTCGTTCTATCTCCTGTGTAGAGGGCGGACTGAGGTGGGTTGAACTCGACGTTGGTCCCTTCTCTGATCGTCGTCCAGCCGGGGCTGGGGAGCAACATGCGGCAAGCGCCGAGCTGAACGTGAGTGAACTGGTACAGGAGTCAGCTGGCGTCTCACGTCTTCTGCAAGAAGACGCTGTTCCTCAGGTACTCGAGATCGAGCCTCTCGGCTGGTGCCACCTCGTCCTCTCTGTCAGGTGTGAAGCCGACGGCGTGTAGAAGTGGTGTGACCAAGCCTGCCATCCGCAGTGTGCACTTGTGCCGGATGGTCCTGTTCCTCGAAGCCCAGTCCCTGTAAGAGCGGAGCTGGCTAGCAAGGGTGACCGTGATGCCTCCATGGGATCTGCGGCCTCGGAGCTCGGTCCCGTTGATCAGTCTCAACGGGATGCCTGTGAGGGCCACGTCGATCATGGCCATCTCTGTCTCTGTGACGTTCCCGGTGGCCTGTCGGGAAAAGAGCGTGTTAGCGATCGCCTTGTGGAAGTAGCGGATCGGCGGGCTCCTGAGCGTACTTCGCGCTTGAGGAGAAGTACTCCCCAAACGCGATCGTCCCCAAAGTGCGGTCATCTCGTCGCGGTCGACGTCGAGGCCTAGACGGTTGCCTGGCGGCAGGAAAAGTGCTCGGTCAATGTCTCTGTATGAGAGATAGTGTCGCCGTCCGGTGGCCCAGAACGTGATGTACCCGTCACTGCCGTGGGGTGTGGTCTTGCCGAGTTGGCAGGGCTCGTGCTCGAGAGTGGCAAGGAAAAGGCAAGTCGCCTTCCGGTAAGACTCGTACTGCTGGAACATGACTTGGTGGATGCCTAGGTTCTGGAACATCTCGTCAATATCCTCGTCGATGCGGAGCGTCTGCATCGTGCCTCTGTCGGCATATCACGTCCCGGCGAACCGCATGTCGAGGAGGGTGCGGAAACGATGCATCTCGATCTCCGTGACAGAGTCCTCGGTCTCGTCGTCTCCCGGGGTCTCAGGGAATGGTGCGTCCTGCATGGTAGAGTCCTCGACGAAGTCGTCATCGGGCTCGACGACGGGTCTCTTCCCCCGTGCTATCTCCTCTGGCGGCGTGAGGATCCGGCTTCTCCGCGGTTCCTGAAAACCACGGAAAAGAACACAAGTCAGCCCTGCAATACGTGCTCCAATTCGATCGAATTCACAGGCTAGTCGATCGGCTTGTCGAAAACGAACGACAAATTCGAACAAGTTGTGAAAACGACACATGTTATAATCTCCATTGATCCGCAAACCGATCGGTTTCACATCGCACGGTTGACAGCTTAAACCCGATTCAATCAAAGAGGTTAACTAGCAGTTTAGCAACTCGATTTACCAATGCAAAACCAAATCCAAACAATCGGTTTGATTGAGACACTACTAACCAGCTACATGTTCGATCGATTGCAAGATAATACCAGCTAAACACGGGATCGATCGAACAAGGGAGACTGTAGTCAAGTGAAGAACAGTTACCTTTCACTTAGCATGGTTTAAAGAGAAAGAGATAATGCAGCAGTTGGTGCGGTAAAATGCGAGTATCGGCGGAGACGGATGTGAGTAAGGAGAGAGTGAACGAGATGAAGTGGTGAGAGATATGAGTTGATGAAGGAGAGAAGGAGATGAAATGAGAGTGAAAGATGAGGGATATCGATTTTCAGAAAAATGGTTAGAGAGAGAATGGAAGAGATAGTCGTGGTGGTGAGAGAGGTTGATAAAAGAGAGATAGATGGAGAAAATGGTCGAGTGAAGAGAAAAGAAAAGGAGGGAGATGAGAAGATATGGTGAGGACGAGGTAATCGAGCGTGTGGAGGAGAGGGAGATAGTGTGAGTTACCTTATCCCTTACCTGGTGGGGCCCGGCGGTCGGCGGGCGGGTGGGCGTGTACGGTGGGCGGGTCGATTGGCTGGTCGGGTCGACCCGATTTCTTTTTTTTTTTTTTTTTCAAAACAAAGAAAACAGAATTAGCAGAAAATAAAATTGAAAAGGAGTATGTACACTTACCAGTGGGTTGCCTCCCACCAAGCGCTTGGTTTAAGTCACTAGCTTGACTTGAATGCCTCTCAGGAATAGATTCCCTCTCTGTGATGTCGGTATCAGCAAGGTATGGCTTGACGTTGACCGTTCACCACGAAGTGTCCACCAGACTTGTCCCATAGCTCAAAAGCTCCATATGGTCTGACTTCCTTGATAACGAAGGGCCCAGACCACCTTGATTTCAGCTTTCCAGGAAACAACTTCAGCCTGGAGTTAAACAGCAGGACTTGATCTCCTTGGGAAAAGTTCCTTTTCAGGATCTTCTTGTCGTGGTAAGCTTTAGTCCGCTCCTTGTAGATCTTCGAACTGTCATAGGCCAGGTGCCTAATCTCGTCAAGCTCGACCAACTGCATGTTCCTCCTCTCTGCCGCAGACTTCATGTCATAGTTCATCTGCTTCACTGCCCACGCAGCCTTGTACTCTAGCTCCACAGGCAGGTGACAAGCCTTGCCATAGACTAGGTTGAAAGGTGTCGTACCAATAGGAGTCTTGTAGGCAGTTCGATAGGCCCAGAGTGCATCATCCAACTTTGCAGCCCAGTCCTTCCCAGTCGTGCCTGCAGTCTTCTGAAGGATGTTCTTGATCTCTCTGTTAGATAGCTCGACTTGGCCACTCGTCTGGGGATGATAAGGAGTCGCCACCTTGTGCTTCACCCCGTGCCTCTTCAACATATTATCGAAGGTCCTATTGATGAAATGGGAACCTCCATCACTGATAACAACTCTTGGCACACCAAATCGAGGGAAGATCACTGACTTGAACATCTTCATCACGACCTTTGCATCATTAGTGGGACTGGCCAAAGCCTCTACCCACTTAGATACATAGTCGACAGCCACCAAAATGTACAGTTTCCATAGGAAGATGGGAAGGGTCCCATGAAGTCAACTCCCCACACGTCGAAAACCTCTACTTCCAGAATGAAGTTCTGTGGCATCTCGTTTCTCTTACTGATGTTCCCCTGTCTCTGGCACACATCACACTTAGACACGAATCTGTGAGCATCTCGGAACATGGTGGGCCACCAGTAGCCAGCTTGCAGCGCCTTGGATACAGTCTTGTACGTCGCGAAGTGTCCAGCATAAGACGAGCTATGACAGTGGAACAAGATCCCAGGTATCTCCTCATCAGCTACACATCTCCTGTAGACTCCATCGGTGCAGTGCTTGTACAGTATGGCTCATCCCAGAAATAGCGACGGATGTCTCTCAAGAACTTCTTCTTCTTGTTCCCCACAAAACCAGTAGGTTCATGCTCAGCAGCGAGGTAATTCGCTATCTCTCCAAACCATGGGAAACTGGAACGGTAACGGCGTTACAGCTCAAAGTACGATCTCCGTCATCACCATTCGATCGATCTCCTTCTAGTGCACTCGGTCGAACTCCATCATCAGCGAGCAGGGGCTCGCTGTAATCGATCACCTCAATAGCGTAGACGTGCTCATCAGGTAAGCTGTCGTCTAGAGGAACGTCATCATCGATCTTCATCCTTGACAGGTGATCAGCTACACCATTGTCAATCCCTTTCTTATCCTTGATCTCCAGATCGAACTCCTGAAGCAAAAGAATCCATCTCAAGAGTCTCGGCTTCGCATCCTTCTTCGTCAGCAAGTACTTCAATGCAGCGTGATCAGTGTGGACAATCACCTTCGATCCAACAAGATAGGACCGAAACTTCTCAAATGCAAACACCACCGCCAATAGTTCCTTCTCAGTCGTAGCGTACTTGCACTGAGCTTCATCAAGTGTGCGACTGGCGTAGTAGATCACGTGCAGCTTCTTCTCCTTTCTCTGGCCCAGAACCGCTCCGACAGCATAGTCACTAGCATCTGTCATCACCTCGAACGGAAGGCTCCAGTCAGGAGGTTGGACAATTGGAGCACTCACCAGAGCTCCCTTGATCGTGTGAAAGGCCTCCAACATGCACTGTCAAAGTCGAACTTGACCTCCTTACACAACAGCATCGTCAAAGGTCTGGTGATCTTAGAGAAGTCCTTGATGAACCGCCTATAGAACCCTGCATGCCCCAGAAAGCTGCGGATTCCCTTGACAGAATTAGGCGGCTGTAGACTCATCATCACCTCGATCTTCGCTCGGTCGACCTTGATTCCCTTCTCTGAAATCCTATGTCCCAGCACGATCCCATCTCTCACCATGAAATGGCACTTCTCCCAGTTCAGCACAAGATGTCTCTCCTCACACCGCTGCAATACCCTGCACAGATTAGACAAACAGACAGCAAAAGAGCTTCCATAGACAGAAAAGTCGTCCATGAAAACTTCCATTATGTCCTCAATAAGGTCAGTGAAAATAGACATCATGCAGCGCTGGAACGTCGCCGGTGCATTGCACAGTCCAAACGGCATTCTGCGATATGCATAAGTGCCAAAGCTACCTCCAGAGGGTCGTCAAGAAGCATCTCCTCACTCACTTCGTCCACCAAGTCCGAGCCATCTTCAATCACATAAGTTTGCCCATCTAACATTGGCTTCTTGAGGAGCTTGTTCATCTCGAATCTCATGACGATATCTCCCAGATGGAGATCAATGATTCCTCCCTTCACGTCAATGATTGCACCAGCTGTGCATAGGAAGTTCGCCCGAGGATGAGCGGATCCTTAGGCTCTTCGTCGAGCTCGAGGACTACAAAGTCTGCTGGAATCAGTGTGTTCCCTATCTGCACATGTAAGTCCTCAAGTATACCGACTGGAAACTTGTCGATCTGTCTGCGAAAACCAAAGAGACTTTCGTGGGTTTGAACTTGTGTATCCCAATCGCTTGCCACAGAATACGGCATCAGATTCACGCTCGAGCCGAGATCGCAAAGAGAGCATGCGAAAGGTCATGCGGCCTATCTGCACTGACAAGACAAATCTCCCTGGATCACTCCTCTTCTTGATCACCTTGTTCTGCAGCACAGCGCTGCACTCCTCCGATACTAGCATGACGTTCTCATCCTCAGCTACCTTCCCAGATATCAGCTCCTTCATGTACTTCTTCAGAGCAGGAATCATCTGAACAGCATCAGACAGAGGCAGCTTCACAGTCAAGTCCTTCAGCATCTCCTTACACTTAGCATCCTCCAAGTCTTTTCTGGACTTCTTCCGTGGAACAGGGTAAGGCACCTTAGGTGCGTAAGCTCGGGCTGGAGCAGTCTCTGCAGCTGCAGGGGTAGGTAAATCAGCTACCTGAGACGACGAAGCGTCTTCACCAGCTCGATCGAGTCCGCTGGATGCAGCTCGATCGACTTCGGCTTTCTCCTTGCCTGCCCTTTTCAGAGGAATCACAGCAGGTTGTAGCTTCCTTCCACTTCTCAGCTCAACTTGTGCAACATACTCATTCCTGGATTCTGCTCTCCTTTCCCAGGAAGGGTTCCTGAGGTCTCTTCACAGCTTCAGCGGTTTGAGCGACTTGGACATCCAGCTTCTTCACGTGAGTCCACACAGCTTCGTACTTCCCATTCAGATCGTTGTACATGGTGTCGATCTTCAAGTGTGTCTCGGCAGTGGACTTCTGCTGGTTCATCAACATCTGCTTCATCATACCTTAAGCTCATCGTTCGAGTTGTTCGATGAACCTGAAGGTTGTTGCTGAACTGAGCCGTCTGTTGGTTACCTCCCTGAGAACGATTCTGGTTTGGGGCAAAAGTCTTCTCCTGGAAGCTGTTAGGATAGCTCTTCTGATAACTCTGCTGGTTCTGGTTCGATCGAGGCGGATAGACCTGATCCTGAGGGTTCTCGACGTTGGTGCTCCTGTAGGACATGTTCGGATGGTTTCTGTAGTTCGAGTTGAAACCACGGTCGGCACAAAAGGTTGCCCATTCACATAGTTGACCTCCATCTGATCATCGTCGTCCTCTCTCCTCCAAACTCTTGAGAGATAGGTGCATCATCGTTCTCGTCAACAAAATGAACAGACTTCTGCTGCGCCTTCATCAATAGATTCACCTTCGCAGTGAGCTCCTCAATCTTCTTCGCGTCAGCACTGCTTCCTTTGACAGATACAGTGCTCACTGTTCTGTCGTACTCAGCGTTCTTGTTGCTCGAGCTCGCTGCAAGATTCTCGATCAGCTCGAATGCACCCTCCTTGGACTTCGTCATGAAATCGCCATTACTGGCTGCGTTCAAAGCATTCCTGTAGTCCCAGTTGACTCCATCGTAGAAGATGCTCAGTATCTGCTCGTCAGAGTATCCGTGATGAGGACACTCTCTTCGGCACTCCTTGTATCTCTCCCATGCTTCACAGAAAGCTTCTCCATCATACTGCTGGAAAGATGCGATCTTCGTCCTTAGAGCTGCATTCTTGGACTTCGTGTAGAAGTGGTCCAGGAAAGCTGCTCTAACTTGGTCCCATGAAGTCAAAGAACCAGGTGGTAATGACTTCAGCCAGCGAGATGCTTTGTTGGCAAGTGAGAACGGGAATAGCTTGCACTTCAGAAAGTCAGCCGGTACTCCATTCGAACCAGTCGTGCTGCATATCTCCTCAAAGTTCTGGATATGGTCCGCAGGGAATCTCAGCAGGAAGTCCATGGAAGATGTGATCCTTGACTAAGAGCGATCATGCCGGGCTTGATCTCGAAGTCTTGCCTCTGACGTTTGGAGGGACAATCGCAGACCGGTTTTGATAGAAAGGTGTGCGGATTGTCCTTGTCTCCAATAGCAGGACGAGGTTGCGGTTCTCGATCTTGTTGAGCCTTCCGCATCTGCTCGATCTGCTGCTGAAGCTGCTGCAACTGAGCAGCCATGTTCGGGTTGCCGTTATCGCCCATGTCGGCTGGATTCGGCCTTCGTTGTCTGTTTGCTCGTTCTGCTCTTGCAAGTTCTGCGTTGGACAGGATCAAAAGCTCTTCGTTGCGGTTGCTCCGTCGAGATCTAGTGATCATGCACCTGAAACACACACAGGAAAAACAAGAGAGAACAAGTTAGTAATCTTAGACTAAATTTTAAATCAAGAATCAGAGGTAACGAATTGGTCCCCGTCGCAACGGCGCCAAATTTGATAAACTAGAAATAGGTCCTTTTCTCTACTGCAAATTATCAGTGATGAAGATTGTAATATAAAGGATTCGAAATCCAGAGGACCAGCGTTACACTGTGAAACTAGGAGATTTAAAACAGAGCTAAGACAAAGATGATTGGTTTTAGTACAGGTAACGAATGTAAACGATGATGTAATTCAATTAAACAGGGACTAGACCAAGGCAATTCGCAGAGATTCACAGGTTAACAACCGAACAACTATTCAGGGCACAGATGATGAACAGGTCTCGAACTCAAACATGAAAATATGTCAATTCACTTTCGCGATAATGATAACTTTATCTAACAACCTAGATGTCTAAACTGTCGTTTGAATCTAGCAATTGATGACAAGCAATAAACTCAGGTTCGATAAGTTCACGAATCGCCTCAGCATCAACTTTCGCAGGCTAAGGACGATTCGCTCACCACAGTTCGTTCTAACAACCTATTGCACTTTTGATGAACAGGTAATCTGAGATCAGAGATCGAATGATCAGATCGATCTAAGCAGTAAGTGCAACAATGGCGAAGACAGTATAAAGCCCTATCTGTATTCAGAAAAACCTAGATCTAGCAGGGTGACTACTCAGACATGGTGAAACAGCAAACAAATACTGAATGAATGTCATTGAATCAAATAAGAAAATAGCAAACAAAAGGGTTCAGAAATCTTCTCCAAACTGTGAAAAACAGAGGTTTGATCTCTTCTCCCTCGGAAACAATGAACAACAGTGTAAACTCTGAAAAACGCGTAGCCTAAACAATGGCTAAAGATAGGTCTAAATAGCTCCGGGGTCGACTTCGGTTCAATCCGGTTCGCTGTGGTTCGATCGACGGTTTGCACCAAGTAGATCGAACGGCTGTGATATCATCTCGGTGAAGCGAACGGACGGTGAGATCGATCGATGCATGGCGCATGGGATCGATCGAACTGCCTTGCATGGGATCGATCGAGTCACCTCCTGTGTACGTGTCGATCGAGCTGGGTAGGTTGACAGGGCGATCGAGCTGTATGGGCGTACAGGTTCGATCGATCTCGTATGGACTCGATCGAGCTCCTTTGGCTCCGTTTTGCCTGCTTTCTCCCTTGTTGGTCCATGTGACCAAAGCTCTCCCTGGAACGTCTTTAGACCTGAAAAGACTCGATAAAGACTAGAAAGACTCGATAAAACTCGTGAAAACAAGTGTTAGAATGCGTCAAATACGCAAGATATCAGATGGGTCTGGGGGTTCGCTCTCAATATCGGCATATGCTCAGCTCCACTATGAGATTTATGGGAGTGTATTATGGACTCTACATGGCTTGGGAGATACGAGTCCCGCGTTTGATTATTGAGGTGGACTCCGAGATTGTGATGGGTTTTCACACAGGAATTAGTGATTCTCACCCCCTGTTTTGGAATCGATTCTGAAGACAGTTTTGGAATTGATTCTGAAGACGAGGTCGCCACGTTTGGCACACGATTTATCGGTTTTCTTTTAATCTTTTTTTTTTTTTGAAAAATGTTTTCCTTTTATTTTTAAAGAACCTAACCAAGGCTCACCTATGTGGGTGCTATAATAGCTTTATAACAAAAATATTTATTTCTATATTTTTACTAATTTTCATGGAAATCTTAAAACTTTTATATTCTCATTTTTAATATACAGATCTTAGAGTGGCATTTTTGGAAAGAAGAGATGGATTTTCGAATTGCTTTTGGATAAAAAAGGTAATATCATAGACATCTTTGATTCAAATGTATAACAAAAAAATTGCGAATCAATTATTGTTTTGACGGAACTTTGCAGAATAGTTTCGGTTAAAGTTTTTTTTAATAATTTTTTGACGTGAATTTTAAGATAGATATTTAATAATTTTTATTTATAACTTTATCTTTATGGGGACGATAGATTTTTGAATTACTTTTGAAAGAGAAAATATAACGGTTAAAAATTCACCTGTTTACGTGTTCAACAAAAAAACTGGGGGTTAGATATTATTTTTAGAGAATTTTGCAGAATAGCTTTGTTTCGAGATTTATTAAATATCATATTATTTATGTGAAATTTATGGTGGATATTCATTATTTATGTGTCAAACGAAAAGTTTGAGGGTAAGAATACACTTGGACAAGTAAGAATAATTTAGAATTGGGATTTAATATTTATATTATATTTCATATCTTGTTACTTTTAGGTCTTAAAATAAATACATTTGGCCTTATAAAATAAAATCTAAAACAATCTAAAAATCTATTTTGAGCCTTAATATAGTTACCATATTTTTCATATACAAACTCTAGATTCGCATTCTTAGAAGGGAGAGATGGATATATTTGAATTGGTTTTGGATAAAAAATGTAATGTCATAGAAATCATCGATTGACATGTATAACAAAAAATTTGCCAAGTATGGAGAGGTGGAAAAGAGACTATCCATATCTTGAGAAATTGCCTGGCAATGGAGAGAATTTGGAGGCATATTGTGTCAGCAAGGAAGCGGAGAGAGTTCTTTAGCGCTCCGCTATTAAGCTGGATATATCAGAACCTAGGTGACATAGCTGATCTGGGTGAATACATTTGGTCCACGGTGTTTGCAGGAGCTACCTGGTAGAATTGGAAATAGCGATGCGGGAATATTTTGGGACAAATGGAAAGTGTCGTGACCGTGTGAGATTCATCAAGGATATAGCAACTGAACCGACTGTGGTGCATGCTAAGACAAGAGAACAAGCAGGGGCCACAGTTAGAGTTGAGAGACAAATAGCATGGCAACCTCCGAAAAGCGGCTGGTGGAAGATGCATACCGATGGAGCAGCTAGAGGGAATCCGGGCTTAGCCTCAGCAGGTGGAGTTCTACAGGATGCCAGTGGAGGATGGGTCTGTGGGTTCGCTCTCAATATCGGCATATGCTCAGCTCCACTAGCAGATTTATGGGGAGTGTACTACGGACTCTATATGGCTTGGGAGATACGAGTCCCGCGTTTGATTATTGAGCTGGACTCCAAGATTGTGATGGGTTTTCACACAGGAATTAGTGATTCTCACCCCCTGTCATTCCTAGTACAGTTGTGCTATGGCTTTGTTTCAAGAGACTGGTTAGTCCGGTTTCAACATGCATACAGAGAGGCAAATCGGGTGTCTGACGGCCTTGCGAACCATGCATTTTCTTTACCTTTAGGTTTTTATTCCTTCACCTCTGCTCCTACTGAATTTCAGTTTTAATTCCTTCACCTCTGCTCCTACTGAAATTCAGTTTTGATGTATGAGGATGTTAATGGCTCTACACGAGCTAGATTTGTACGGGTTTAATAACATAAAGGTATTTCATACCCTCTCGTTTACCAAAAAAAACTCTAGAGTCGCATTCTTGAAAAAAAGATAGATTTTCGAATTTGCTTTTGGATAAAAAGGTAATGTCATAGAAATTATCGATTGACATGTATAACAAAAAATTTGCGAATCAAGTATTGTTTTGAGGAAACTTTGTAGAATAGTTTCGATTAAAGTATTTAAAAACAAAAATGCGGGCTTAGCCTCAGCAGGTGGAGTTCTACAGGATGTCAGTGGAAGATGGGTCTGTGGGTTCGCTCTCAATATCGGCATATGCTCAGCTCCACTAAGAGATTTATGGGGAGTGTACTACGGACTCTACATGGCTTGGGAGATACGAGTCTCGCATTTGATTATTGAGGTGGACTCCGAGATTGTGATGTGTTTTCACACAGGGATTAGTGATTCTCACCGCCTGTCATTCCTAGTAAAAAAAAAATGACGTGAATTTTAAGGTAGATATTATATAGATCTTTTATTTGTAACTTTATCTTTATGGGGACGAGAGATTTTTGAATTACTTTTGAAAGAGAAAATATAACGGCAAAACATTCACTATTTACGTGTTCAACAAAAAAATTGAGGGCTATATATTGTTTGGCGAGAATTTTGCTGAAAAGCTTTGTTTCGAGATTTATTAAAATATCATATTTTCTGTGAAATTTATGGTGGATATTTTGAGTTAAGAGCAGGTGCATTGGAAAACTTGGGCACGGATTCACAGGAAAAAAAGAAAAAAAGAATGAAAAAAATGAAACAATGATGTGGCATAAATTTATTGCAAAATCGTCTCTTCGGGAGACAGTTTTGGAATCGATTCTGAAGACGAGGTCGCCACGTTTCGCACACGATTTGTCGGTTTTTTTTTAATCTTGTTTTTTTTTAAAAAATGTTTTCCTTTTATTTTTAAAGAACTTAACCAAGGCTCACCTATGTGGGTGCTATAATAGCCTTATAACAAAAATATTTATTTCTATATTTTTACTAATTTTCATGGAAATCTTAAAACTTTTATATTCTCATTTTTAATATACAGACTCTAGAGTGGCATTTTTGAAAAGAAGAGATGGATTTTTGAATTGATTTTGGATAAAAAAGGTATTGTCATAGACATCTTTGATTGAAATGTATAACAAAAAAATTGCGAATCAATTATTGTTTTGACGGAACTTTGCAGAATAGTTTCGGTTAAAGTTTTTTTAATAAATTTTTGACGTGAATTTTAAGGTAGATATTTAATAATGTTTATTTATAACTTTATCTTTATGGGGACGATAGATTTTTGAATTACTTTTGAAAGAGAAAATATAACGGTTAAAAATTCACCTGTTTACGTGTTCAACAAAAAAATTGGGGGTTAGATATTATTTTTAGAGAATTTTGTAGAATAGCTTTGTTTCGAGATTTATTAAATATCATATTATTTATGTGAAATTTATGGTGGATATTTTGCAATTTTTAACGGCTGAACATTCATTATTTATGTGTCAAACAAAAAGTTTGAGGGTAAGAATACACTTGATGGACAAGTAAGAATAATTTAGAATTGGGATTTAATATTTATATTATATTTTAGATCTTGTTACTTCTAAGTCTTAAAATAAATACATTTGACCTTATAAAATAAAATCTAAAACAATCTAAAAATCTATTTTGGGCCTTAATATAGTTACCATATTTTTCATATACAAACTCTAGATTCGCATTCTTAGAAAGGTGAGATGGATATATTTGAATTGGTTTTGGATAAAAAATGTAATGTCATAGAAATCATCGATTGACATGTATAACAAAAAATTTGCCAAGTATGCAGAGGTGGAGAAGAGACTATAATCCATATCTTGAGAAATTGCCCGGCGATGGAGGGAATCTGGAGGTGTATTGTGCCAGCAAGGAAGCGAAGAGAATTCTTCAGCGCTCCGTTATTAAGCTGGATATACTATAACCTAGGTGACATAGCTGATCGGGGTGAATACATTTGGTCCACGGTGTTTGCAGGAGCTACCTGGTAGAATTGGAAATAGCGATGCGGGAATATTTTGGGACAAATGGAAAGTGTCGTGACCGTGTGAGATTCATCAAGGATATAGCAACTGAACCGACTGTGGTGCATGCTAAGACAAGAGAACAAGCAGGGGCCACAGTTAGAGTTGAGAGACAAATAGCATGGCAACCTCCGAAAAGCGGCTGGTGGAAGATGCATACCGATGGAGCAGCTAGAGGCAATCCGGGCTTAGCCTCAGCATATGGAGTTCTACAGGATGCCAGTGGAGGATGGGTCTGTGGGTTCGCTCTCAATATCGGCATATGCTCAGCTCCACTAGCAGATTTATGGGGAGTGTACTATGGACTCTATATGGCTTGGGAGATACGAGTCCCGCGTTTGATTATTGAGCTGGACTCCGAGATTGTGATGGGTTTTCACACAGGAATTAGTGATTCTCACCCCCTGTCATTCCTAGTACAGTTGTGCTATGGCTTTGTTTCAAGAAACTGGTTAGTCCGGTTTCAACATGCATACAGAGAGGCAAATCGGGTGTCTGACGGCCTTGCGAACCATGCATTTTCTTTACCTTTAGGTTTTCATTCCTTCACCTCTGCTCCTACTGAATTTCAGTTTTAATTCCTTCACCTCTCCTCCTACTGAAATTCAGTTTTGATGTATGAGGATGTTAATGGCTCTACACGAGCTAGATTTTTACGGGTTTAAGTTTAAATAACATAAGGGTATTTCATACCCTCTCGTTTACCAAAAAAAACTCTAGAGTCACATTCTTGTAAAAAAGATAGATTTTCGAATTTGCTTTTGGATAAAAAGGTAATGTCATAGAAATTATCGATTGACATGTATAACAAAAATTTGCGAATCAAGTATTGTTTTGAGGAAACTTTGTAGAATAGTTTCGGTTAAAGTATTTAAAAACAAAAATGCGGGCTTAGCCTCAGCAGGTGGAGTTCTACAGGATGTCAGTGGAAGATGGGTTTGTGGGTTCGCTCTCAATATCGGCATATGCTCAGCTCCACTAGGAGATTTATGGGGAGTATACTACGGACTCTACATGGCTTGGGAGATATGAGTCTCGCATTTGATTATTGAGGTGGACTCCGAGATTGTGATGGGTTTTCACACAGGGATTAGTGATTTTCACCCCTTGTCATTCCTATAAAAAAAAATGACGTGAATTTTAAGGTAGATATTATATAGATCTTTTATTTGTAACTTTATCTTTATGGGGACGAGAGATTTTTGAATTACTTTTGAAAGAGAAAATATAACGGCAAAACATTCACTATTTACGTGTTCAACAAAAAAATTGAGGGCTATATATTGTTTGGAGAGAATTTTGCTGAAAAGCTTTGTTTCGAGATTTATTAAAATATCATATTTTTTGTGAAATTTATGGTGGATATTTTGAGTTAAGAGCAGGTGCATTGGAAAAATTGGGCACGGATTCATAGGAAAAAAAGAAAAAAAGAATGAAAAAAATGAAAAAATGATGTGGCATGAATTTATTGCAAAATTGTCTCTTCGGGAGACAGTTTTGGAATCGATTATGAAGACGAGGTCGCCACGTTTGGCACACGATTTGTCGGTTTTTTTTTAATCTTGTTTTTTTTTTTAAATGTTTTCCTTTTATTTTTAAAGAACTTAACCAAGGTTCATCTATGTGGGTGCTATAATAGCCTTATAACAAAAATATTTATTTCTATATTTTTACTAATCATATATATGAATTGTGGCCGATCCTCTCCAATTTTTGTGACACTTGGACGCAAGACAATCTGACATGTGTCCATTATTTATAACAATATTGACGATTTGAGTTCTGTAATTTTTAACTTTCGTTCTGAAGGCTCTGAAGGCTTCAGTTTTCACTTCTTTCATCTCCGCCTTGTATCATTTTAATCCCATGGAAGACGTAGCGTCTATGTGAACCGTCTTATTAATCATTTACTTTCTGGGATTATCTTAGTTCATCTGTATTTATGGGAGGAAACTCCGTTGACGAACTTGAGACGTGAAGCGTGGCGAATAGTAGAAAGGTTGAAGGAAGGTGGGGGAATGGGATTCTTTGTCGATAGAAGGCATTCGCGAAAGTCCGAACAACGGAGGCAGAGCGGACGATCCATTGATCAACGTGTTTGGATCCGACTCGTCGAATCTATCCGGATTGGGTTGCGGATGGATTCTGGTAATGGTGGCCGGAGGTGACATATTTGTGAGAAGAGGTTTGGGGTTATGTGTTGAAGCTGGAAAAGAGTGGATGGGAAGGAGAACTTGAGGTGATGGAGATTAAGATGAAGATCATGTTCATCATTTGACGTTTCCTAATACTTGTAATGCTCGTAAAGTGGTGAAATGTTTGAGGAGTTTCTTAAAAACTAAAGAGTATATTATAATAACAAAGAGGTTACTTTAACGATTGCTTGATACTTGTGAGTCAATGATTTAGTGTTACTCTATATTTTTCTTTCGGAAATTATTAATAAGCTTTAATCACAGAAAAAAATATTTCTATCGTGATACATTAAACCTTCTTCTGTGTTTGGTATTGTTGCAGGAGACTTCTTTCAACAGTGGTTTGAATTATGGACATGGTCATTAAGGATGCTAATGCTAAGGTCACCACAAACATCAAACTACTAAACTCGGTAAATATACTTTCCTTCGATAAGAACTTTGGATATATATAAACTAATTCTTTTTATATATACTTTCAAAACTGACAGTGGAAGAGCCTGTAAAGAAGAAAGAAGAGTGTGTAGAAGGAATGTTTGAAACGCTAACAGTTGTTGAAAAAGCAGTACATGAGAGCTAAGACGTTTGCCGGGTCAAGCTACTACGACGTCGCATCAACTTCCTGCACTATCACTGGGATAGTCTACTCAATAGTCCAAGAATCTTCTTTGGTAAGCCATAAGTACCATTTTTAACATTTTTTCTCCGCATTGTAACGTTTTACAAGTGGATCTTACGTAATACAAGACGAGCTTCCAAGTTCCTTATATTTTATGGTTGTAGAACTTAAATGTTACTGATAATCTACCGAACATGAAAGAAGTCGTTTCATCTATTGCGAGAGTATGTCATAACGAGGGTGTCTCATCGTTTCTCTGTTTTTCAGTTTACGTTTTTCCAGGCTTTAACGTTCCTCTATTTGTCTATGTATGTCATAACTTTATAGGTTCTATTAGTATACAACAATCTAACAGTTCATATTTGAAATATAAAAAACAAAATTACAGATTTGATATGATAAGCACAAAAATATGTGAGAAAAAACCCGCGCGTATGCGCGGGTATTAGCCTAGTTTTCATGGAAATCTTAAAACTTTTATATTCTCATTTTTAATATACAGACTCTAGAGTGGCATTTTTGGAAAGAAGAGATGAATTTTCGAACTGCTTTTGGATAAAAAAGGTATTGTCATAGACATCTTTGATTGAAATGTATAACAAAAAAATTGCGAATCAATTATTGTTTTGACGAAACTTTGCAGAATAGTTTCGGTTAAAGTTTTTTTAATAAATTTTTGACGTGAATTTTAAGGTAGATATTTAATAATGTTTATTTATAACTTTATCTTTATGGGGACGATAGATTTTTGAATTACTTTTGAAAGAGAAAATATAACGGTTAAAAATTCACCTGTTTACGTGTTCAACAAAAAAACTGGGGGTTAGATATTATTTTTAGAGAATTTTGCAGAATAGCTTTGTTTCGAGATTTATTAAATATCATATTATTTATGTGAAATTTATGGTGGATATTTTGCAATTTGTAACGGCTGAACATTCATTATTTATGTGTCAAACGAAAAGTTTGAGGGTAAGAATACACTTGATGGACAAGTAAAAATAATTTAGAATTGGGATTTAATATTTATATTATATTTTAGATCTTGTTACTTTTAGGTCTTAAAATAAATACATTTGACCTTATAAAATAAAATCTAAAACAATCTAAAAATCTATTTTGGGCCTTAATATAATTACCATATTTTTCATATACAAACTCTAGATTCGCATTCTTAGAAAGGTGAGATGGATATATTTGAATTGGTTTTGGATAAAAAATGTAATGTCATAGAAATCATCGATTGACATGTATAACAAAAAATTTGACAAGTATGCAGAGGTGGAGAAGAGACTATAATCCATATCTTGAGAAATTGCCCGGCGATGGAGGGAATCTGGAGGTGTATTGTGCCAGCAAGGAAGCGAAGAGAATTCTTTAGCGCTCCGTTATTAAGCTGGATATACCAGAACCTAGGTGACATAGCTGATCTGGGTGAATACATTTGGTCCACGATATTTGTAGGAGCTACCTGGTAGAATTGGAAATAGCGAAGCGGGAATATTTTGGGACAAATGGAAAGTGTCGTGACCGTGTGAGATTCATCAAGGATATAGCAACTGAAGCGACTGTGGTGCATGCTAAGACAAGAGAACAAGCAGGGGCCACAGTTAGAGTTGAGAGACAAATAGCATGGAAACCTCCGAAAAGCGGCTGGTGGAAGATGCATACCGATGGAGCAGCTAGAGGGAATTCGGGCTTAGCCTCAGCAGGTGGAGTTCTACAGGATGCCAGTGGAGGATGGGTTTGTGGGTTCGCTCTCAATATCGGCATATGCTCAGCTCCACTAGCAGATTTATGGGGAGTGTACTACGGACTCTATATGGCTTGGGAGATATGAGTCCCGAGTTTGATTATTGAGCTGGATTCCGAGATTGTGATGGGTTTTCACACGGGAATTAGTGATTCTCACCCCCTGTTATTCCTAGTACAGTTGTGCTATGGCTTTGTTTCAAGAGACTGGTTAGTCCGGTTTCAACATGCATACAGAGAGGCAAATCGGGTGTCTGACGGCCTTGCGAACCATGCATTTTCTTTACCTTTAGGTTTTTATTCCTTCACCTCTGCTCCTATTGAATTTCAGTTTTAATTCCTTCACCTCTGCTCCTACTGAAATTCAGTTTTGATGTATGAGGATGTTAATGGCTCTACACGAGCTAGATTTGTACGGGTTTAATAACATAAAGGTATTTCATACCCTCTCGTTTACCAAAAAAAACTCTAGAGTCGCATTCTTGAAAAAAAGATAGATTTTCGAATTGCTTTTGGATAAAAAGGTAATGTCATAGAAATTATCGATTGACATGTATAACAAAAAATTTGCGAATCAAGTATTGTTTTGAGGAAACTTTGTAGAATAGTTTCGGTTAAAGTATTTAAAAACAAAAATGCGGGCTTAGCCTCAGCAGGTGGAGTTCTACAGGATGTCAGTGGAAGATGGGTCTGTGGGTTCGCTCTCAATATCGGCATATGCTCAGCTCCACTAAGAGATTTATGGGGAGTGTACTACGGACTCTACATGGCTTGGGAGATACGAGTCTCGCATTTGATTATTGAGGTGGACTCCGAGATTGTGATGTGTTTTCACACAGGGATTAGTGATTCTCACCCCTTGTCATTCCTAGTAAAAAAAAAATGACGTGAATTTTAAGGTAGATATTATATAGATCTTTTATTTGTAACTTTATCTTTATGGGGACGAGAGATTTTTGAATTACTTTTGAAAGAGAAAATATAACGGCAAAACATTCACTATTTACGTGTTCAACAAAAAAATTGAGGGCTATATATTGTTTGGCGAGAATTTTGCTGAAAAGCTTTGTTTCGAGATTTATTAAAATATCATATTTTCTGTGAAATTTATGGTGGATATTTTGAGTTAAGAGCAGGTGCATTGGAAAACTTGGGCACGGATTCACAGGAAAAAAAGAAAAAAAGAATGAAAAAAATGAAACAATGATGTGGCATAAATTTATTGCAAAATCGTCTCTTCGGGAGACAGTTTTGGAATCGATTCTGAAGACGAGGTCGCCATGTTTCGCACACGATTTGTCGGTTTTTTTTTTAACTTGTTTTTTTAAAAAAAATGTTTTCTTTTTATTTTTAAAGAACTTAACCAAGGCTCACCTATGTAGGTGCTATAATAGCCTTATAACAAAAATATTTATTTCTATATTTTTACTAATTTTCATGGAAATCTTAAAAATTTTATATTCTCATTTTTAATATACAGACTCTAGAGTGGCATTTTTGGAAAGAAAAGATGGATTTTGGAATTGCTTTTGGATAAAAAAGGTATTGTCATAGACATCTTTGATTGAAATGTATAACAAAAAAATTGCGAATCAATTATTGTTTTGACGAAACTTTGCAGAATAGTTTCGGTTAAAGTTTTTTTTAATAAATTTTTGACGTGAATTTTAAGGTAGATATTTAATAATGTTTATTTATAACTTTATCTTTATGGGGACGATAGATTTTTGAATTACTTTTGAAAGAGAAAATATAACGGTTAAAAATTCACCTGTTTACGTGTTCAACAAAAAAACTGGGGGTTAGATATTATTTTTAGAGAATTTTGCATAATAGCTTTGTTTCGAGATTTATTAAATATCATATTATTTATGTGAAATTTATGGTGGATATTTTGCAATTTGTAACGGCTGAACATTCATTATTTATGTGTCAAACGAAAAGTTTGAGGGTAAGAATACACTTGATAGACAAGTAAGAATAATTTAGAATTGGGATTTAATAATTATATTATATTTTAGATCTTGTTACTTTTAGGTCTTAAAATAAATACATTTGACCTTATAAAATAAAATCTAAAACAATCTAAAAATCTATTTTGGGCCTTAATATAATTATCATATTTTTCATATACAAACTCTAGATTCGCATTCTTAGAAAGGTAAGATGGATATATTTGAATTGGTTTTGGATAAAAAATGTAATGTTATAGAAATCATCGATTGACATGTATAACAAAAAATTTGCCAAGTATACAGAGGTGGAGAAGAGACTATAATCCATATCTTGAGAAATTGCCCGACGATGGAAGGTATCTGGAGGCGTATTGTGCAAGTAAGGAAGCGAAGAGAATTCTTTAGCGCTCCGTTATTAAGCTGGATATACCAGAACCTAGGTGACATAGCTGATCTGGATGAATACATTTGGTCCACGGTGTTTGCAGGAGCTACGTAATAAAATTGGAAATAACGATGCGGGAATAAACTAACTATCAAATAGCTAAGAAATTTTAAAATGTTAAACATAAAAAAACAGAAGTAATGGAAATAGATAAACATATACAAATTTAATTATAATATATATTAATACTACAAAATTCCCGCATTAAACGCTGATAATCACCTAATTTAATGATTATTTACGAAACTCACATTCTACCGCAAATAAAATCTTCTATGGTGGAGCTTTAGAATTGGAACCCACATACAAAACGTTTAAAACTTTTTATAAACGAATCGAACTTTATTTTCTTTGCTCGTGAATCCCAGAATCCGAAAAAGTTATTAAGAGAGCAAAAACCACGAGAAACGGAAAATTCTGGGCGAGAGAAGAGTATGTGTCGACAAAACATAGGATGTTGAACGGCGAAAGCAGAGGATTTTAAGAAGAAAAAGGAGAGAGGGACGAGAAAACGAAGACACGTACGAGAAAAGAAGCCCCAGACGTCAACTAAAAAATCCCCACGTGTCTCTCCTTCTCTCCCACCGTTGCATGGAGCAGACAGACGCTGCAACTGCCTCGTGTTACTCCTCAAAGACCAATTACTTACTCACACGTCGATAAACAATCTCGAAGAACCAATAACGCCTCTAATTTACACACTAAAAACAATAAAACATTTTGACGAAACCTCGAATGTACATTGCATGTAGTCGAAAATGAAAATAAAGAAAGGAGATAGGTGTAGGCACGCATGACGTCCAGCAGCAACACGCGTTGCGGTGACATGCACTGTGATTGGTGAACCGAACCAAAACGGCACATTAACACATTCTCTCACACGTGTCCCTATTCACAACCCTCTCTAACACGTACCCATCCTTTTCTCTCCAAATGTCTTTCTTCCATATTATCCGCCTTTCTCTTATTGGTTCTTCACTCTCCTTCCTTATTATAACCTTCCTCGCTCTTCACTCCTCTTTGATATCTCAACATCCATCTTCTTCTTCTTCTTGCAGTTTCTTCCTTTCCTTTTTTTTTTTTGGACGCCATCATGATAAAAATACTCAACCCTCATCACTCGCACCATTCTCCCTCAACCACAACAACTCTTAAAACCGCTGAGATCTTGTCCAAATATAGACCCATTGCTCCTAAGCCAGGGACGCCTCAAGTAAACGATAATGACCCTTCTTCGTCTATGTCTCACAAGATTAGCCAGTCTCCTTACCTTCGTAACCTCTGGCCGCAGCTTCAAGCTCGTCCTACAAGAACCCGCAAGCGAGGTAGAGGCGGGATGGGTCCCACGTCTCCTCTTGCCATGAAGAGACCCAAGTCATCCGCTTCTGTCACTACACAACGTGTGTTTGGTCCTATTAAAACGCTGTCCTTTCAGGCTTTCCCTCATGGGTTACCTAGCCTCACACAGGTTGGGTACGCCTTGGAGAATGGTGGTGGCTCTTCTGCTTTGGTGACTCTTCCTCTTCTTCAGTGCGCTCCTCCATCCAAATGCATGGAACCAGAAATCAAAGGAAGATGTGTCATTGATCTTAACAAAAAGGTAGAAGTGATAGAGGAGAGAGATTTCTTGATGCAATTACAAGGACAACCCATCACCACAACTACAGCTAAAACCACAAGCAGAGTCATTGCACCACAGCCTATTAGGCCAGTTTGCTCAAAGATCAACGTTGTCTGCATAAACCCACTATCCAACGCACCCCCACCATCTCATTTCAGGAAGAAATCATCTGAAGATGTCGAAGAGGAAGTGGAATCCGACGAGTTACCGGCTATAATCTCCGATTCCAACAACAGAGTCAGACTCGTGAACTCCGCATACAAGGAAATGATGGGACAGCCTGAGTGCTCGTGGCTAGATTCAATGGTGAGAGGGAAGAGGATTTGTGGGCAAGTGATGATCCATTTGTGTGAATCCAAAATTCCTGAGAATAATGGGTTTTCTTGCTGGGTGAGGATAGAGTGGGGAAGAGACGGTAAGGAGGAGTTTGTGCACGCCTTCTGCGATGTCATGAAACTTGTGTGCGACTCTAAAGATTATGTCTTCACTTGGAGGTTCCACATAAACAAATAACTGGAGAGAGACTTGTCAGTCAAGCTGCAACGCTTAATTAGGTCTGGAGTAATGTGTGTAGCCCTATTTAGTGCCTTGTGTAATGATATAATATATATAGCCATTATGTAAATATGGTTAGTGATAATATTCTGTTGTTAAAATATACTATGAAACTATGAAGAACGACTATTTGCTCCTTATTTTAGAATGTCTTTCTTTCTGACGAAAGCACAACTTTCAAGTTTTCGTTGGTAAATATGTCTACTTAATATTAATTATTGCTTGCATGACTTGGGCTGAAAGCGATCGCACACTGACAAGCGATTATATAAACATATGTAAAGAGCTTAAGGTATACAAAGTGTCAAAAGCCACAAATGAATAAGAAGAACTGTAACGTATATAACTTGAGTCTTGCATCTTAAGCGAGTTTGGGAGATCTGTGCCTTTAGCATTTACTCTACTTTTTCCCAAAGACGAATGACCAAGTTGGTTGGGTAAGTAAGATATGTATTGGCATAATAGTAAATGAATTTATTTTAGTAAAATATTTGAAACTATAATATTTATTTTTTTGCCAAATAATAATAAATTGAGTAGTTAAATGTATGTACGAAGAAATATAATTTTTATTTCTTCTGTTTGACAGCTTTTAGAAAAATAGTATTCTAATAGAAAATTAGTGGTCGATTTGGAGTAAATTATAGTACAAAATGTAATACCAATCAAAACTTTATGTTATATTTGTGATAATATAAAAATATATATTATAAAAAATAACGTTACAAAAGTGAGAATACAAAAATGTATAATATAAAAGGAAGCGTTATAACAAAAAGTGATGTTAAAAAATTTTATTTATTTCAAAAAAAACGTTACAAGAAAATGATACGAAAAATGCCAGTACAGTAAGTTAAATGAGTAACGTGATATGCGTGTGTAGAACATAATAACTATTGAAATTATTTTAGTAAAATATTTGAAAATATAATATTTTTTTTTCCAAATAATAATAAATTGAGTAATTAAATGTACGATGAAGAAAGATTCGGAGTAAACTATAGTAAAAAATGTGATACCAATCAAAACTTTATGTTATATTTGTGATAATATAAAAATATATATTATAAACAAGAGCGTTACAAAAGTGAGAATACAAAAATGTATAATATAAAAGGAAGTGTTATAACAAAAAGTGATGTTACAAAAATATTTATTACAGAAAAAGCGTTACAAGAAAATGATACAAAAAATGCCAGAACAATAAGTTAAATGAGTAACGTGATATGCGTGTGTAGAACATAGTAGTTATTGAATTTATTTTAGTAAAATATTTGAAAATATAATATTTATCTTTTTGCCAAATAATAATAAATTGAGTAGTTAAATGTACGATGAAGAAATATAATTTTTATTTCTTTTGTTTGACAGCTTTTAGAAAAACAGTATTCTTTTTTTTTGGTCAAACAGTATTCTAATATAGAAAATTAGTGGTCGATTTGGAGTAAACTATAGTACAAAATGTAATACCAATCAAAACTTTATGTTATATTTGTAATAATAAAAAATTAGATAATATTAAAAAGAGCGTTACAAAAGTGATAATACAAAAATGTATATTATAAAAGGAAGTGTTATAACAAAAAATAATGTTACAAAAATATTTATTACAATAAAAGCGTTACAAGAAAATGATAAAAAAATGCTAGAACAATAAGTTAAATGAGTAATGTGATATGTATGTGTAGAAAAAATTCTTTAGGTGTGAAATAACAGAAGTAGCGTTAGTGATGGAACGGGGACTGTAACATTGAAAATAGTAGTGATGGGAATGGTAAATGTGACATTAATAACTATTTTCAATGATATTAATAAAATTTTGCATAAATTGTTAACAAAATTAGTTAATCAATAATTCATATTGTTTGTATAGAACGATAAAAAAGGTTAACAAAAATAGTTCTTATATTTTCAGTTTCATATGATAACTTGATTAATCTCATAATTTAGTTATGTTAACTCGATTAATCTGATAATGTCATATTTAAATAATATAATAACTAATCTAACATAATATTTTATAATATGTTAACTTGTTCAACACGATATTTTATAATATCATAATTATTTAATACACTAACACGTATATAACTTGAGTCTTGCATCATAAGCAAGTTTGGGATAACTGTGCCTTTAGCATTTTTCTCCACTTTTTCCCAAAGACAAATGACCAAGTTGTTTGTATAAGTAAAGATATGTAACATTGGCGAAAAAACTTCTCTTTCTTCTCTCACTCTTATTTTTCAGAGAGAAGGCGATTTCCGATCTAGTTGATTGGATTTAGATTTCGGCTTCTTGCCGTTTTTTGTTTGTTTTATAGTTTCGGCTTTGACCGATCTTTAGCTTCCGATATGTTCTTTGGATCGGATTAATAATTCCACCATAGATTTCATCTATGGATGGATTTTAGTTTTATCTTTCTTTTGCATGTTTTTCTTAACAAATTCCGGTGGAGTGTAGCGCTTCTAATCTCTTCGGCTATCCTTGGATTTTCTATCAACGGGAGTAATTTCTTCACTTATCCGATGTAGGAATTTGAGTGAAGTTTCCTTAACGATGGAGGATTTGAGTCGATTGGGAATTTGTATCGGTTGGTTTGGCCCAGAAAAGCAGAGCTGAAGTTATTGGCGAATTTCTGAATTCTAGATCTTCCGGCGGTTCCTGGAACTTGATTTGCTCCGATGAATTCTTTGAAGGTCTGCCCACGTCCTCCCAGCGATTACATGCAAAAGACTTAATGCAGCGGTACACAATGATGCTTCATAATAGTGGTTGGACGGAATAGGATTGCCGGCGACTGTTGCCGAGAAACTGGTCAGCGGTCGGTGATGCTTGCGGTGTTGTTTCGATCTAATCCAAGTGATGCCACGTATGGACAAGCAGCTCCCACTAGCTTACACGTGTTCATGATGTGTTTAAATAGTATTAGCTTTTAATCTTGTATCACGCTGGGCTATTATTGGGCCGTGCCTAATTTGTTGTACCTCTATTTGCCCTTCAGGGCTTTTAATACAATGAATTGTTGGCGAAAATAAAAAGTAAAGATATGTATTGGCATAATAATTATTGAATTTATTTTCCTAAAATATTTGAAAACTAGATGGTTGGTCCGCGTCCGCGCGGGCAAGATATGTTTCAGAACTCCAATCCTCTCAGATTAACCATTTTATTTTTAATTATTTTTCATATTTTTGTAATGTTTTTATTTTCCAAAGTAATAGCTTAACATTTTGTTAATTTGATAGAACTTATAAATTGTGAAAGTTAAAAAATTAGTTAAATTTTATAATGATTGTTTTCTTCTCCCTTTTTTTTGCTTCTTCTTTTTTTCAAATTTTGTTCTTCAATCAATTCTTTTGTTTTCATATCCTTCAACATACTATTATTCTTTTTCTTTCTAATTTTCTGTACATTCTTTTTCCAGTTTATCTTCTTCCTCATTCTCCCTTAATTCTCTCTATCTTTATCGTCTTTGTCTTCTCTGACATCATCTTATTCTAATTTTTATTATCTCTTATTTTTCTTCTTTCCCTTCATATTTTATTTTTTCTTATTTGTTTTCTTTTTCCTCTTTGAGATTTTTTCTTCTTCTCGAAGTTTCTCATCTTCTTATCCACTGTCTTCTTTTATTCTACTCATGTTTTTATTCCTTCTTATTTATGTCTTATATTTTACTTATCAATTCATTCAATAGTTTAAATTTTCAAGGATTCATGAAATAGTTTTTTATCTTTATATAGTCAAGATCTTTAAAAAATCTATTTAATTTGTGTTGTTATCTTTTGATTATGGATTTGCTTTTATTGTTTAGTTTTTTCTACTTATGAGTGTATTTTAGAATGGTAGATATAAATTTATAATTAGTGATTTTTAATTTTGATATACTTCTATTATAATTCATTTTTTTTTAAATGCACCAGAAACTAAAGCCAACACCCATCAATATAAACCCTAAACTCAAACTCCACATTATAATCTCCTACCCCTAATTAAAGATCCTACACCCTAAATCCAAATCCACATTATAACTCCCCCTAAATCGCACACATGAATCTTACATTACCAATTAGTTCTTGATTTGCTTTTTTTTTTTTTTTCTAATTTTTTTTGTTTGTAATTGTTGTTTTCTTATCTTTTTTATTCTTTTCTATTGATCCCTTCTTCTTCTTTTTTCTTATATTTTTTATTTGTTTTCATCATCTTCTTTTGTTCGGCTTCTTCTTCATCTTCCATTTTTTGTTGTTCAATCGTTTTATGTGTCTTCATATCCTCCAACTCACATTCTTCTATTTCTTTCAAATTTTCTTTACATTCTATTTCCGATCTTTCTTCTTCCTCAACCCCCTCTCTCTCTCTTCTCTCACATCATTTTATTATAGTTTTTATTTATCTATTTTTTTGTCTTTTTTTCTTCTTTTTTGATTTCTTTTTCCTCGTGTTCAAGTTTTCTTCTTTCTCTCGAAGTTTCTCATATTCTTTTCTCTTACTCATGTTTTTCGTTCTTGTCTACATTTTGTATTTCACTTATCAATTCATTTGATAGTGAAGATTTTGTTAATTCACAAATTCAATTAATATCAGATTAATGCATTTTCTTTTTAATTACTTTTCTTATTTTTGTAATGTGTTTATTTTCCAAAAAGTAATAGCTTAACATTTTTTTTATTTTTGATATGAACTTATAAATTGTGAAAACACAAAAACAAATTAGTTAAATTTTGTAATGATTGTTTTCTTCTCCCTCTTATTCTTATTCAGTAATCTCATCGTTTTTTTTTTCTACTTTTTTTTTAATTCTTTGTCATCATATTCTTTTTGCTTCTTCTTTTTCCAATTTTTGTTTTTCAATCCTTTCTTGTATCTTTATATCCTCCCACTTATTATTCTTCTTTTTCTTTCTAATTTTCTTTACATTCTTTTTCCGTTTTATCTTCTTCGTCTTCTCGAACATCATCTTA